CCACAGGCCCCGCCCAGAGACACCTCCCCACAAGCCCCACCCAGAGATACCGCACCACAGACCATGCCCAGAGACACCGCCACACACTCCCCGCCCAGAGACACCGCCACACAGGCCCCGCCCAGATACATCGCCACTGTTGCCCCGCCCAGAGACAACGCCACACAGTCCCCGCCCAGAGACACCGCCACACGTGCCCCGCCCAGAGACACCGCCACACAGGTCCCGCCCAGATACGCTGCCACACAGGCCCCGCCCAGACACCGCCCATCAGCCCCCCTGAGAGACACCGCCATGCAGGCCCCGCCCAGTGACACCACCCCATAGGCCCCACCCAGAGACACCGCCGCACAGGCCCAGCCCAGAGACGCCGCCACAGGCGCCCCGCCCAGAGACAACGCCACACAGGCCCCACCCTGAGACACCGCCACACAGGCCCCACCCAGAGGCACTGCGACACAGGCCCCGCCCAGAGACACTGTCCCACAGGCTCCACCCAGACACCGCCACACTGGCCCTGCCCAGAGGCACCGCCACAGAGGCCCCGCCCAGAGACACTGCCACACAGGCCCCGCCCAGGGATACCGCCGCACAGGCCTCGACCAGAGACAGCACCCCACAGGCCCCGCCCAGAGACACCTCCCCATAGGCCCCGCCCAGAGACACTGCCACACAGGCCCCGCCCAGAGACACTGCCACACAGGCCCCGCCCAGAGACACTGCCACACAGGCCCCACCCAGAGACACCGCCCCACACCCCACAGGCCCCGCCCAGAGACACTGCCACACAGGCCCCACCCAGAGACACCGCCCGGCTCTGATTGAGAAAATAAATCTGCATTTTGCGAAGAAACAGTTTATTGTTGTTTATGTTAATGTGGGGACCGACCCCGACCGGCAGCTGATCACTTCATGACTGTCGCAGGCGTTTCTTCAGAAGCTTCAACGCCTGCTGCAACCACACGTCCTGCGACTCCACACACACGTCCAGACCTCCTGGCGTCCGTAACCTGCCAAACAACCTCTCTCAGTGTCGGTCAACAACATCAACAACATTGATAGAGTGCCCCTCATGCAGGGTAGCGTCCCGGAGCTCTTGACAATGGCAGAGTACAATGTCGGGGAGCAGGGAGGTGACTGTCGGCATGATTGAACAGGGAAATCTTAAGCCGCGATCTGAAGTTGTGGAAGTAAGCGGCAACTTGGAGGGATAAAGGAAGAGAGGCCCAGAATTTTGTACCTGGTGCCTATCAGACAAGCTGAGAGAACATCCGTGGACGTGGAGTCACAGTTGGAGGAGAAGTAGATTTGTGTGTCATCTGCATACATGTGGAAGTTTACCCAGCGTGGGAGGAGAAACAGTTTGAAGAGACAAAGTGAAAGCGATTTGTTAGGCAGGACTCGAACCAGGTTAGTGCGGTCTCACTGAGGTGGAGGAGGGAGGAGAAGTGTTGGATGAGGATGGTGGGGTCAAATGCAATGGAGAGGCCCAGGAGAGTGAGGAGGCAGAGGGAGCCCTGGTCATAGAGAGTCCCTCTTTGTGACCTTGACAGCATCCCAGAGCTCTCCTCTTCAAAATCTACAGCCCTAAACCCAGCCCCAACCCCAGGCCCAAGGCTAGGCTCAGCACTAACCTGAGCGCAGACTCCGGACACACCAGCTCCTGAGCCATCGTGGCCGGCAACGGGTCACTGGGGGCTGCTGTTCAGGGAGAGGGAGAGGGTCAACAACAGTAACTGTATGTCAGCAAGGTGAGGAGGGGAATGAGGGGGAGTGAGGGGAGAGCAAGGGGATGAGTGAATGGGGAGCTGGGGGGGTTGCGGGGAGTGAGGGTTGGATGAGTAGGAGCAAAGGGGAGAGCAAGAGAGGGAGTGAGCATGAGGGATGGTTACTCACCCACTGTGCGAGGCCACAGGGAACAGATGAGACTGAAGAGGAGGAGAGGGACCGAATGCTTCATGAGGAGTTGCCAGATTGAGGATCGGAGAGAGACCGAAACCCGAGGACTTTATACACAGGCTGGCAGTGGGGGGTTGGGGAGGGGGGGGCAACATGGTATTTTAATCTGAGGAATAATACCGGCAGGAATGGCCTGAGTCAGCTTTTACTGATTCCAGGCCAGTGGGAGGGATAGAAAGTCTGGCTTCACAGTAACAAGCAACAAATGGAGACAGAATGAAAGCACCTCACTCCAGAGTGAGAGAAAGGGGTGGGGGGTGGGGAGAGAGAGAAAGGCATGGACAGAGAGAGTGAGAGACAGAGGGATAGAGAGATAAAGAGACGGAAAGGGACAGAAAGAGAGGGGGGTGGCGGTGGGAGAGGCACAAAGAGAGAGAAAGAGAGAGACAGAGAGAGGGGGGGTGGGGGGCGGTGTGGAGGGATCGAGAGAGATGGACAGAGAAAGTGAGAGATGGCGAGGCACACAAAGAGAGAGTAGGACAGAGAGAGAGTGAGGGACAGAGAGAGTGAGAGACAAAGAAACAGAGAGGGACAGAGAGAGAGAGGCATGGGGTGGAGGGACCAAGAGAGAGATAGAGAGAGAAAGAGAGAGAGAAGGAGGGTAGGGACAGAGAGAGAGAGTGTGGGAGAGAGAGAGATGGACAGAGAGAGTGAGGGACAAAGACAGAGGGACAGAGAGAGGGGGGGGACAGAGAGGGAGTGGGGATTGCAGAAAAAGGTCAGACAGAGACAAAAAGAAAGAAAAAGAGAAAGGACAAATGGACAGAGAGAGAGGCACAGAGTAAGAAACAGACACGTTTGCACAAAGACACAGAAATAGAGAAGAAGAGAGAGCCTGATGTGGGAGAGGTCACCATGGTTTACATCTTGTGGAGGCAGAGTTGGGGCTGGTGATCATGGAGTTGCATGGCTGAGCCTGGTCGTGATAAAAGCATTGATGAAGGTCTTGGTGGCTCCAGGCGAAGGCAGTGGTGGAGGTGGGCAATGTTTTGGAATGGGGGGAAAGCTGAATGGGTCATGGCAGGGATGTGGGTTTAAAGGACAATCGAGTCAAACAAGTCATCAATGTTCCTCACTGGATTAATGTAGATGCCTGAGGAGATAAGGTGCTGCTGGGAGACAATTTTGTAGACATTTGACTGGAGAATGTTAGCTCTCATCCAGCCTGACAGTCAATTGGGCAGAACAGCAGCGTGGAGGTTTGAGGCAGACAGAGAGAGTCAGATGTCAACCACATACTTGTCTGCAGTTGGCATTGCCGAGTGGGAGCATGTGGATGTTAAAGAGCCAAACCCTGCCACCTCCTCAAACCCTATTGAACACTATTATGTTCATCACATCCAGCCTTGACTAGGCCAACTGGCTGCTCTCTGGATTCCCCAGCTCTTCCCTCCACAAGCTGCATCCCGTGTCTCCCACACCAGGTGCCATCAGCACATCAACTCCATCCTCACCAGCTCCATTGGCTCTCAATCGCCAGCAGATTGAGTTCAAGATCCTTGTTCTTACCTTCAAATCCCTTCACCGTCTCACCCCACCTGACTCCTGCCACCTCCACAAACCCCTCCCTATTGACCCAACTGCTCCTTTCCTCCAGGTACCAGGTTCCCATCACCACCAGTGGGCAGCTGTTGGCCATTCAACTCCTGTTCTTAGGCACTCCATTCTCCCCACTGCCTTGTTCCCCACTCACCTGAAGACCTATCTTTTTGGCCACCACTTCTTGAGCTCTCTGCCTCTTCAACCCTGGCGATCATTCCATGCTCCTCTGCTGCCGCTCTTCTCAGTTTCACGCTCATGGCTATATCCCAGTTTAGTTTCAGTTTTACCTTATCCCAAACTCTGCACTTTGTCTCTGCCAACAGCTTCTCCTCCCATCACCTCAGCGCTCTGTCCTCGCTCTTCTGCTGCTGGGTTTGGGGCTGGGGTTATAGCTAGGGCTGGAGTTGGGGCTGGGGCTGGGATTGTGGAGGTTGTTGTGGCTGGGTTACGGTTTGGGGTTTGGGTTTGAGATTGGGGTTCAGGCTGGTTGAGTTAGGGCTGGGGTTGGGGTTGTGGAGGGGGTTGGGGCTGGGGATGGTTTTAGGACTGGGATTAGGTTTGGTGCTGGTGTTGGGGCTGGGCTTGGTTATGGAAGGGTTGGTGCTGTGGTTAGGTTTGGGGTTTGGAGCTGGGGTTGAGGCTGGGGATAGGGCTGGAGTTTGGGGCTGGATTTGTATTTGAGGCTGGGTTTAGGGCTGAGGTTGGGGTTGAGGTTGGGGCAATGAAGGGCTGGGTACCGAGGCTGGTTTCTCAGGCTTATTCTCGGCGGCAAGTGACTGGAGAATCAATGCAGAAATGAAAGGGACGTTGCTTGAGGGGTTGTTGGTCAGTGGGTGGTGGGTTGGTGCAAGGTTTGCCAACTTTCCAATTTGTCAAAAGCGGCCACTGGAGCCCATTCCCACACAGGCCTGTATGGCTTTCAGGTGTCATCAGGACAATGACAAGGCAAACAACAGAAGGATATTTAAATGTCTCACACATATCTTTCCTTATTCTGGGGTGTGGGTCCCTGGGTGTGTCAGTTTACAGGTGTCAGTCTGGAACTTTCATTTTTTAATTATGAGATTTCTTACAGTCTCCTGGCCAACAATCCTCCCCAGGGTTGGGTTAAGTGGTAGAGGAGCTTTATTGTGTCTCCAACCCTGACCTGGGAGTGTGGACACACAGCGTAGAGGAGCTTTACTGTGTCGCTAACCCTGACCTGTGGATGGACACACAGTGTAGAGGAGCTTTACTGTGTCTCTAACCCTGACCTGGGAGTGTGGACACACAGTGTAGAGGAGCTTTACTGTGTCTCTAACCCTGACCTGTGGATGGACAGGATGAGACAGGGCTACTCTGAATGGACAATGTGGGCTCAGGTTCGAGGAAGAATTATGAAATCTTTTGTTTCTGCTTTTCAGGAAGAGTGAGAAGCCGCGTCCCCAGAAGTCTGGGAAGTCCCGGCCAAGGAACGGCAGCTGTGAGTGTCGTGCGCAGCTGCTTCCTGTATAAATGGGGGTGAAGCGGCTGTGGGGTCTGTATCCACTGAGTGTCACACTCACAGCGGCAGCAACATGCAGTGGCTACACATGGCTCTGGCTCTGGTTCTCTCACTGACCCTCTGCCCACAACAGCTCTCCGCCGGTAAGTCACGCTTCTCTCTCGTGTAACAGCTGAACAACGTGGTCATGATGAGCCCAGGAGCAGTGCGGAGCCTCACTGCCTTCCTTCTCTCAGCAAACAGCAAGTCCCTCAGTGTCCCTGAGCTGGGCATTGTGTGTGTCAGCCCGGCTCAGTGTGTGTGTCAGCCCGGCTCAGTGTGTGTGTCAGCCCGGCTCAGTGTGTGTCAGCCCGGCTCAGTGTGTGTCAGCCCGGCTCAGTGTGTGTCAGCCCGGCTCAGTGTGTGTCAGCCCGGCTCAGTGTGTGTGTCAGCCCGGCTCAGTGTGTGTGTCAGCCCGGCTCAGTGTGTGTGTCAGCCCGGCTCAGAGTGTGTTAGCCCGGCTCAGTGTGTGTCAGCCCGGCTCAGTGTGTGTCAGCCCGGCTCAGTGTGTGTCAGCCCGGCTCAGTGTGTGTCCCTCTCCGGTGTCTGGCCAACAGTCCCCCAGATACACTTGGTTGCTCGCTCCATGTCTGCGTGTGGGACATTGCTGGGCACAAACTGGTTGTGCTGCTCAGCCACAAAAACACAATGCCTTCTGGTTTGAGACGTTGAAACAATGTGATGAGATGTTGCATCAAATACGATGACTATTATTCCTTCATTCCAGTTCCCCTGGCTATTGCAACGTCGTCTGGTCTGTGCTGCCAGCAACACATCCGCAAACCACTGCCCCTGAGCCGGCTCAGAGGCTACAGGCTGCTCAGCGCTACGTATATCTGTACACACGACTCCATAATGTGAGTGTCCCCGTCTGTGTCTGGACTATGTCTGGCCTCTGTCTGGTGTGTGTCAGATTTGTGTCTAGTATTTGTTTTGTGTATGTCTGGTCTGTGTCTGTTGTGTGTCTGTTGTGTGTCTGATGTGTGTCTGGTCTGTGTCTGATGTGTGTCTGGTCAGTGCCTAGTCTGTATCTGGCGTGTGTCTGGCCTGTGTCTGGCCTGTGTCTAGTGTGTGTCTGATATGTGTCTGGTGTTTGTCTGGCCTGTGCATAGTTTGGGTCTGGCCTGTGTCTGGTGTGGGTCTCGGCCGTGTCTGACGTGTGCCTACTCTGGGTCTGGCCTGTGTCTGGCCTGTGTCAGGCCTGTGCCTAGTGTGGGTCTGGCCTATGTCTGGCCTGTGCTGGTGTTGCTTTGCTGATGGAGGCATCACTAACCAGACTGATTTGTTTGACAGATTTGAGACGAAGAAGAAGAAGCTGTTGTGTGGAGATCCCCGGCAGCAATGGGTTCAGGACAGAATCCAGCAGCTGGACAGCATGAGGCTCTGAGTGGGAATGAGCTTTGAGTCATATACGGCCTGAGAGTGAGACTGGCCGAGACTCGCTGTGCGAACGGCAGCTTTACACTTGTGTGTTTGGGTCACACTGATCCACCTGCGACTTTGTGCTGATGATGGACCTATAACACACACTGTAAACGGCGAGTGTAGAGTTTGTACAGATTCAGGTTTACAATGTCTATCTAATAAACTTATTGATGAAATGCTGATGGTGTGTGAGCAATGGAATGTTTCGAGGAGATTACTGGGAGCGGAGATGAGGAAGGTTGTGTATAAGAACTCCGAGAAAGTCTTTGAATAAGGTGTGGCACAGGAGCTTCGTGTTAAAGTGAAGGAGTCTGGTGTTAAAGGTGTTAAAGTAATGGAGTGTATAGAAGGATGTGAGGGGCAGAGAGTGGGGACCAATGGGTGTCAGGCGGGCAGTGTGTGGCCCAAGCTCTGGACGGGGACGGCTACAGTTTACATTATACATCAATGATGTGGACGTGCGCACAGGAAGGGGTGGGACCACCTTTGCTGATGACAGTGAATTGGGTGATTGGCAAATGGTGGGAAGCATTGTGTAAGAGGGCGCCAATGGACGGGAGAAATGGGCAGAGAATTGGCAGGTGCAGTTTAAAGCTGATAAGTAATACATTTTGGAAAAAAGAATAGAGAGTGTAAAATCCTGAGCGGAGTGGAGGAGGGGCGGGGTCTGGGACCCCTGAGATTGATACCCTAACGGTGGTACGGTCAGTGGGAAGGGCAGTTTTCACTGTTCAGATGTCAATAGTTCAGCCACTGACCCCTGTGACTTGGATTCCCAGCAGCTCCTCCATGTCTAATTCCCAGACACAGTGTAAGCACTTTGGGATGTCCTTCCGATGTGGAAGGTGCTGCATCAGTGTAAATTGTATTGTATCTCTGTCCTCACGCTGACCCCACACTCTCCCTGCACGGCGGGAACAGACTGAACCCGGCCTTTCTGGGGCCCAATCCCCACTCTCAGGCACCACACACGACCTGCAATAATATCCCACAGTCCCAAACAGAAAAGGAGCAGCTTGTTTGCCTTGACTTTGATGACCACGTGGCCCAATTGCCACTCGCAATGCCCAGCACACCATGTCTCAGCACCCCATAGACCTGGGCACACACACACTGCACCTTCATCACAGTCACCACAGCTCATCACAGGCGCTCCACCTCATCACAGTCACTGCACTCTCATCACAGTCACCACAGCTCATCACAGGCGCTCCACCTCATCACAGTCACTGCACTCTCATCACAGTCACAACTCATCACAGTCACTACACCCCAACACTCAACGTGACAAAACATCTCCACTTGTAATGGTTACTCTCTTTCTCAAATACACCTGCATCAGAGGCGCAATGTAAACTCCACCATCTCAGCCACCATCTTGGGAAGTGGTGGGAAGGCTTGATGGCCCAAGTGGCCTCCTCCTGTTTCTATGTTCCTATCTCTGTGAGAATCTGTGGATTCTGTTTAGAAAATTTCATTAGAAAACTACGCTGTGTGATGGATTGACAAGTGAGGTCGGAGAGATAGGGAGGTGTCAGGGAGTGAATGGGGATCTTGAACCAATGGGAAGTTTTCTGATGAACTTTACTTAACGGAATCCATAGATTCTGTGGGAGCCCCTGGTCATAGATAGAAAGGGCGTTGTTTGTGACTTTGACAAATGCTGTCTCTGTGCTGTAGGCAATCAGAGTGAAAACCAGGAGGGAGTGGAGGGAGAGGTGTGACTGAAGTTGATCTGCAACAATGCATTCCAGGACTTTAGCAAGAAAGGGGAGGGTGGAGATGGGACAGTAGTGTGAGAGATTAGAGGGATCGAGGGTGGTGTTTTGAGGAATGGTGCAATGACAGTGGTTTTCAGGTGGAGTGGAACAGAGCCTGAAGAGATAGAGACTGGTTGACCATGTTGGTCAGCAGGGGGAGATAAGGCGGAGTTGAGTGACCAGCCACTGGGTTGGGGAGGGGGTCGAGGCAGCAGGTGGTGAGAGGGAGAAATGGGGGCAAAGGAGTGTAGGGAGGAAGGAGAAATGGGGGCAAAGGAGTGTAAGCGGGGTGGGGGGGTGGTGGCAGGTGCCGTGGCAGAGGGAGAAGGCAACGTGGATGGTCTGGGTGGGGTGAAAGGGGACAAGGTGGTGGGAGGACGATGCATCCAAGCAGATGATTTTAATTTTTGAGGCAAGAAATCTAGGACATCTTCCCACTTATAATAATAATAATCCTTGCATTTGATACAGCGTTTCCACATCTTCTCGACGTCTCAAAGAGCTTCACTGTAAAGTGAATTGACCATATATTTGTGGAAACAACCCTGGATTTCAGGGGAGCTGGAAATTGAAGGTTGTGGAGAGATGGTCATTCAGCAGCTTGATGGCTGGATCAGGTTCACTGCAGGTGGAGGGCCAGAGGGAGAGAGGGCATTTATGAGGAACTCAGGGGGAAGCTTTTTCCAGAGGTGGAAGAAAATATTGGAGGCCTTAGAAGAAGGGAGGGGGGTGTGGAAGGAGAGGGAGATGAGGAAATGGTCTGAGATGGCCTTGTTCATGATAGACAGGTCGAAAATGTCAAGGAAATGTCATGTGTGATGACCATAGGTGTGGGTCGGCGAGTTGATGTGGAAGGTGAGGTTTAGGGAGGAAAGGAGGGCAGTGAAATCCGAGGAGGTGGTGCACAGGGAGTTTAGGTGGAGGTTGAAATCATCCATTATGAGCAGGTGTTCACTGCAGAGGGACAGGTATAAGAGGAGGAGATATCAGTAAGCAAGGAGCCAGAGATTTTTTTCGGGGTGGGGGGTGCGGTAAATCAGGAGGATTTTGAGGGATCCTTTTGTGATTGGAACCAGTGGATCCTGGCTAGAACTGGTGTGATGGACTGCGGAATTTAGTGCGTGTGATAGTGGAGCGAGGAAGTTTACCCCATGTCTGACATCGCTGAGAGGGAGCATGTAAATGAGGAAGAGGAAGGGGGCCAAGGATGTAGCCCTGGGGTACACCGAAGGTGACTGGGCTGGAGCAGGAGAAGCCGTTTGTGGAGACAAAGTGATGGCAGTTGGTTAAGTTGGACTCGAACCAGGCTAGTGCGGTCCCACAAAGGTGGATGAAGGAGAGGTGGTGGAGGATGGCATTGGTGACTTTGACAAGCACTGTCTGCTGTGGGCAATTTGAAGGGGCTCGAGGAGGGAGTGGAGGGAGAGGTGTGAGCGAAGCTAATTTGCAACGGAAGGGCAGTTTGGAAATGGGACAGTAGTTAGCAAGGTTAGAGGGAGCGAAGGTGGTTTATTTGAGGAGGGGAGTGATGACAGCAGTTTTAAGGGAATGGTTATATCAGCCAGCAGGGGGCAGAGGAGGACCAGGAGCTGAGTGACTGGGAGCTGGGTGGGGAGGGGGTCGAGGAAGCAGGGGGTGGGCTTGGTGATAATGGTTGAGAGGGAGAAAGGAGAAACGGGAAAAGTGTCGGGGTAGTGGGGGGGTGGGGGCAGTGGTAGGAGCTGTGGCAGGAGAGGGTATATGGAAGGCAAGGGAAGGGCTAAGAGGCACAGATGGGGTGGAGGGGGCAGGCAGCCAGGCTGATGTTATCCAGCTTGGATATGAAGAAGGCCAGGACCTCTTCACACTTGGCTTTCGATGTAAGGATCGAAGATTGAGAGGGTGGGGTGGAGAACAGCACTTCAGGGTTATTTTTTCTAGAATGGCCTGAGAAAGGAAGTGAAGAGAAATGTGGAGTGTGTAACAATGTGTTTACGTCTTTTTAAAATAAAACCAAGTGGATAAATTATAAAAGTTTAATGAGCATCTTTATTTGAAAACCTGAAATAAAGTGTTAATTCAGTCACACTTGGGAACACAGTGCAATTGTCTACATGTCTAACATTTCTTAGACCCAACTTATTGCTCTGTTACCTGCAATAATTTATTTTAATCACCTGTTTAAAATAGATGTTGAGCAGGCAGATTCAGTGCTGTCCTGTGTTTGTGTGATGGACAGCCGCATATTTGGGTAAGAATGTTGAGCTCTAGGTAAGGGAGCACTGAGGGTGTGGCTGTGCGTTCACTTACACTGTCTCTGTGCAGCCACTGTTTGCCTCGACCAGTCCTGCTTATTTAACAATATGTTTTTCTTCAACAACACTTGACTTCTCATTTTTCAGATAATAAAATACAAGCGTAACAACAAGAAGATTATATTTGTATAGCGCCTTTCACATCCAACAAAACTAACCACAGAAAGTAAACCAAACCAAACTCCAATAAACGTAGCTTAAAATTATTTTTTGGGAAAACTTTGAATCTTGTGTTTCAAGCTCAAACATATAGTGTGTGATTTCAGCACAAGTTGACACTACAATTTGATTCCTTTCCATAGTTACCGAAAATAAATTTGGGATGAAAGAAACTCAATTTTTGCTTTCATAAAAACTAGATATTGTGAGGTGCCCCTGGAAGTTGTGATGTGAGAGGGTGAGAGGGTGTGATGTGATGTGAGAGGGTGAGAGGGTGTTGTGTGATGTGAGAGGGTGAAAGCGTGTGGTGTGATGTGAGAGGGTGTTGTGTGATGTGAGAGGGTGAAAGGGTGTGGTGTGATGTGAGAGGGTGAGATGTGAGAGGGTGAGAGGGTGTGATGTGATGTGAGAGGGTGAGAGGGTGTGATGTGAGAGGGTGAGAGGGTGTGATGTGATGTGAGAGGGTGTGATGTGAGAGGGTGAGAGGGTGTGATGTGATGTGAGAGGGTGAGAGAGGGTGTGGTGTGATGTGAGAGGGTGAGAGAGGGTGTGGTGTGATGTGAGAGGGTGAGAGAGGGTGTGGTGTGATGTGAGAGGGTGAGAGAGGGTGTGGTGTGATGTGAGAGGGTGAGAGAGGGTGTGATGTGAAAGGGTGAGAGGGTGTGATGTGAGAGGGTGTGAGAGGTCTCGGTTGGTGGTAGTCAGTCAAGGCCGAACTCGATGTCCTCACTATCAAGAGAGTCCGGGACTGAGGAAGTGCCGCCCTCTGCCAGCCACCGCCCTCTGCCAGCTACAACACAAACAATAGTTTAGATTTTCCTCAGGAACGGCAGAAGACAAAAAAAGTAATTGTTCAGAGTCACCTGTGCATCAATTATTTGTTCCCATGACACTATATCACGGAATTGTTGGATAGGACACTGAGAGAAATTCCTTTTCCCTCGGTTTTACACTAGTGCTGTAATGTTCACACTCACATTCAATGATTGTCTCCTGTGCTTTGAAGCACTTTGGGACGCTTCCCAGAGTGAAGGGTGCTATATAAATGCAAGTTGCTGTGCTGTATATTTTACTAAGCTATAATAAAGAGTCATCCTAATAATAATATTCCTTGCATTTGTTACAACGCCTTATCAAGTCTTCGAGACGTCTCAAAGTGCTTCACAGAATATACTATAAGTGAATTGACTGTATATTTTGTTGGCGAAATACGCAGCCAATTGCGCACAGCAGCGTTCCCACAAACAGTCGTGGATTGAGTGAACAAATTATTTTTATTTATTTTTAAGGAATTATTACTTCTGGAAAAGCGATTTCAATCAACTAACAACTGGGTTCCTACTTACTGCTAGGGAAACAGAGGTGTGTGGAGTCAGGAAACTTACCCAACGTTTTGCCCTGCCGGGAATCAAACCCAGGTCTCTCACTTGAGAGGCGAGTGCTTGCAATACACCCAGAGAATAAACACGTGAAGTGAAATTAATTGGTAAATCTGAGGGATAGACCGGGGAGGTTGAGGAGGTCAAAGCCGCAGGAGAGAAGATGTTGGCACATCCTCGGTTTCGGGATTGACCCACATCTGTCCTTGCTTCCCCACATCCAGTCCCTGATCAGGACCACCTTCCTCCGTCTCTGCCACATTGCCCACCTCTGACCGAACTTCACCTCAGACAAAGTCAAAACAGTCTGTGCATTCGTGGGGTAGGGGGGAGGGGTAGGGGGAGGTGTGGGGTAGGGGGAGGGGTAGGAGGGAGGGGTGGGGTAGGGGGGAGGGGTGGGCTAGGGGGGAGGGGTGGGGTAAAAGGGAGGGGTGGGGTAGGGGGAGGGGTGGGGTAGGGGTGGGCTAGGGGAGAAGGGTGGGGTAGAGGGGAGGGGTGGGCTAGGGGGGAGGGGTGGGCTAGGGGGGAGGGGTGGGCTAGGGGGGAGGGGTGGGCTAGGGGGGAGGGGTGGGCTAGGGGGGAGGGAAGGCAGAGACGGGGGTTGGGAGACCAAAGGCACGGTCGAAGGGGAGGGTCTTGAGACCGGCCTTGAAGGAGGTGAGGGAGGAAGCGAGGCCAAGGGACTGTGGGATGGAGTTCCGGAGTGTGGGGGAAGAGAGGCTGAAAGCCCGGCCACCGATAGTAGGGCGGGTCGGGCGGGAGACATGGTGCAGCCGGAGCTGAACGGAGGGAGTGGGCAGGTTGGTAGGGAGTCAGCAGGTCAGAGGGTAGGAGGGGGCAATGCCATGGATGGCCTTAGGTGAGGACGAGGATCTTGAACTCGATCCTCTGGGGGATGGGGAGCCAGTGGGGTCGGGCGAGGGTGGGAGTGATGGGGTCGGGCGAGGGTGGGAGTGATGGGGTCGGGCGAGGGTGGGAGTGATGAGGTCGGGCGAGGGTGGGAGTGATGGGGTCACTGGTGCGTGAGAGTACATGAGCTGCAGAGGTTTGGATGATCTGCAGTTTGTGAAGGGAAGAGTTGTGAAGCCGATGAGGAGGGAGTTCCCGTAATCAAGCCTTGAGGTGACGAAGGTGTGGGTGGGGGTTTGGGGGCTGAGGGGTGAGGCAGTGACGGAGTCTGGCAATGTTGCGGAGGTGGTGGTAGGCAGTGCCGGTCATGGCGCGGATGTGGGGGAGAAAGGACAGTTCAGGGTCAAACAAGACCCCCAGGTTCCTGACTGGCTCAGTGAGGTTGAGGGTGCAGCTGTGGAGGCTGATGCTGCCAACGCCCGAGGTGCGGAGGCGCTGGCGCGAACCAATCAGAAGGGCCTCGGTCTTGCTGATGTTGAGTTGGAGAAAGTTGTCCCTCGTCCAGGACTTGATGTCGGACAGGCAGTCGGTCAGGACACCAGTAATCCTGGAGTTCAGGGTGAAGGCAGAGAGAGAGTTGGGTATCATCCACATACACGTGGAAATTTACCCCATGTCTGCGGATGATGTCACCACAGGGGGAGCATGTAGAGGGTGAGGAGGAGGGGACCAAGGACAGAGCCCTGAGGAACACCGCACGGGACGGTGCGGGGGCTGGAGGAAGAGCCGTTTGCCGTGACTAAGTGGAGGCGGTGTGAAAGATAGGACCTGAACCAGTCAAGGACAGAACCTTGAAGGTTGAGGTGGGAGGAGAGGCGGTGGAGGAAAATTGAGTGGTCCACGGTGTCAAAGGTGGCAGAGAGGTCGAGGAGGACGAGGAGGCAGAGGGAGCCCGGGTCACACATGGTCAGGATGTTGTTTGTGACCTTGACCAGAGCAGTTTCCGTGCTGTGGGCAACACAGAAACCTGGTTGGAGGGGCTCATGGAGGGAGTGAGAGGAAAGAGTGAAGCTGGGAGGCAATGGCTCTCTCAAGGACCTTGGATAGGAAGGGGAGGTTTGAGATGGGCCGGTAGCTGGGTAGCTGTGATGGGTCGAGGGAAGGTTTCTTCAAGGTGGGGGTAATAGTGGCTGTTTTGAGGGGGGAAGGATCAGTGCCAGATGACAGAGAGGGGTTAATGATGTCGGCGAGTAGTGGGGCAAGGAGGTGGAGCTGGGAATTAAGGACAACCAGCTGCCTCCGCTCACCTGGCTCCAGCCTTCTGCTTGTCCCTCGTGCCCTCCGTTCCACCATCAGTGGCTGCGCTTTCAACCCCGATGCCCCAAAACTCTGGAACACTCTTCCCCTATCTTTTCACCTTTCCCCTTCCTTCCCCATCTTCACGCCATGCCTCAAGACCTTCCTATTTGACTGTGCCTCACCGCAGCTCGGTGTCATGCTCCACTACTGTCAAGCATTCTGGAACACTACCTTGCTTGTCCAGCTAGGACCACCTTACCCGTTAGGGCTTTGGCTTGCAGGATTAAACAGGAGCCGAGTGGGATGACTCCCTGACCCACGTAACTAATCCCCAGGTGAACAGCACCATGTCGTCAGCAAACGGAAGTGCCTCAATCCTCTCAGGAGGAACAGGATGATGAGTCTGTCACAGGTCTTGGAGCTGGAATACACATTCCAAATAAAATCCAAGATTTACCCATGTATTCCCATGGCTTCCAGTTTCGTGAGGCGCACCACAAGGTCAAAAGCCTTGCAAAAATTGATGAAAATGTAGGTGACATTACTCAAGTTTATGACTTGGTGACATGTTTATAATCCAAGCTCACATTATTAAAGCTCTCATGTGGAGGCTCCTCACACGCGCTCTTACCCAGGTTTATCCTGTCGGGAGCTGACAGGGTGGATGCTTCCTCTATCAGTATCTTTGTCGGTTTATCAACTTCATCCTTCCTGGAGCACTGCAGAGTTTGTGAATCGCTGTGTAGGGGTATTGTCAATGTCTTCGCTTCACTGCTTTGGGCCTCTCCTAGTTTGGGGTTGATGTCCTGTGTCGCCACCTCCTGTCTGGCCGCCGTGTTTGCTTTGTGATGCCAACATGGCCCTTGCTGATGACCAGAGTGTTGGGATTGCTTTACTTCTCGCTCGGGCTGTGTGTCCTCACAGTCACTGACAGCACTTGCTGCTGAGATTATTTCAATCTTTGGCCGATACACCATCTGAAAGATGGAATGTTTCATGTTCTTGGATTTTACAGTTTTCTGACACAAATAATCTGATCACAAGGGCCTGAATATACTGTCAGGCCAGCTCACTCGCTCTTGCTCTCACTTCTGCGTAAGCAGGTTGTGGTTCATGCCCCATGTTGAGATTTTGAGCTTAGTCGAAGCTGACACTGCAGTGCAGTGATAGGGGAGCGATGCATTAAAGTGAATGCTGCCATCCTTCGAATGAGACTTAAACCGCCCTGTTACGGAATCATAGAATCAAAGAATTATACAACACAGAAGGAGGCCATTCGGCCCATCGTGTCCATGATGGCTCTTTGAAAGAGCTTCCAAATCAACCCCACTCCTCGTTCTCTCCTCATAGCTTTGCAAATTTGTCCTCCTCAAATATCTATCCACTTCTCTCTTGAAAGTTGTTGCTAAATCGTCTTCCACCACTCTTTCAGGCAACGCATGCCAGATCCAACAACTTGCTGTGTGAAAAAATTTCTCCCCATCTATCTGATTCTTTTGACAATTATCTTAAATCTGTTTCCTCTGGTTACTGACCCACCTGCCAGTGGAAAGTTTCTCCTTATCTATTCTATCAAAACCCCTCATAATTTTGAACACCTGTATTAAATCTCCCCTTAACCTTCTCTGCTCGAAGGAGAACAAACACAGCTTCTCTAGTCTCTCCACATAACTGAAGTCTCTCATCCCTGGTACCATTCTGGTAAATTTCTGCACCTCTCCAAGGCCTTGGTGTCCTTCCTAAAGTGTGGTGCCCAGAACTGAACATAGTCGCTAGTTGAGGCCTAACCAGTAAAGGTTCATCATAACTTCCTGACTTTTGTATTACACACCCCTGTTCAGGCAGATGTTAGAGATCCTGTGGCACTATTCGAAAAGAGAAGGTCCTGGCCAACAATTCACCAATAAAATTGGCTGTTAGTGCCATGCTGCTGTCCACAATTTGGCTGCTATGTTTCTCCACAAAAACACAATAATAATAATAATCCTTGCATTTGATATAGTGCTTTTCACGTCGGGAGGACGTCCCAAAGCGCTTCGCAGAACACTCTGTAAAGTGAATTGTCTGTATATTTGGGGCGAACATGGCAGCCAATTGCGCACAGCAATGTCCCACAGACAGCCGTAGATTGAAAGTGACCGATTTATTATTGTTTTGTTTTGGAGGGATTATTATTAGGCTCTGTGTGGAGTAAGGAAACGTGCCCAAGGTTTCGTCCTGACCTGCCTGGGATTGAACTCAGGTCTCTCGCTTACAAAGCGAGTGCTCTAACCACTGAGCTACAGGACTTCACAAATCAATTCTGCTTTGAGACCTTTGAACAAGCTGATAAGATGCTATATGAAATACAATTATTATTATTCCTTGATTTCAGTTCCTTTGGTTAATAGAAGAGGAATTCTCTGCCCTGTGCAGCTACCAGGATAAACACTGACCCACCTGCCTAGCCAGCATTCTCCACCAAAATTAATCATTCACTTCATGGCTGTTTGTCCAAAGGATGACGCCTTCAACAACATAGCACTGCCCCAGCATTGACTGTGAGTTCAAAATCCTGATGTAGGGTTTTATTCCACAACCTTATGACTCAGAGATGACAGTGAGCCTGTGAGCCGGGCTGATTCCTGCAGCTAACAAAAGGCAAAATACATCATCTGCTGGAAATCTGAAGTAAAACAGAAGTGGCTGGGAACCCTCAGCAGGTCAGGCAGCATCTATGGAGAGACGAAAGTGAATTAATGTTTCAGTTCGATGACCTGAATTGTTCCCAGGGACCTTTGGTCATCAAATACAAGGATTATTATTATTATCGACCTGAAACGTTAACTTGCTTTCCTCTCTCCATAGATGTTGCCTGACCTGCTGAGGGTTCCCAGCAACTTCTGTTTCTATCTTTAATACCTGCAGCTCACTGATGAAAAATGTTAATTTGTATATTTTGGTGGTAAGAATGAAATGGCATGGTAAATAGTGTTAAATGTTAAATAGAGGAGGGATCTGGTATGCAGGTTGTGAAGGGCTGAATGGTTGTATCTCTGCTGTAACATACACAATTATCAGTTCAAAGGGTTAAAGCACAATATGAAAGCTCGCTCTGTCACTCACATTAAATGGAGTGTCAGCGTCAGTGTTATTCCAACCACAGATTGAAGGGAGTGAAGTTACGGAATCGCATGTGAATAGCTGCTGGCCCTCATCAGCTGCTGAGAAACCTGTAACATCTTCCAAGTCGGGCAGATCCTTTAACAAAGGCAGAAAGAATTACAAACACCTTAAACATGTCAACAATCCACATCGTCAATACCTTAAGGGGAAGGGGTTAGGGTAGGGATTTGTGTCCGAGCTGTGAGCTGGGAGATGGTGGCACTGCTCTCACGCTGAACTGTGCTGCTCGCTGGGTAGCTCACAGACCTCTATGACGGGGTAAACCCTGTCACTGTCTTTTATGGTGTTGGTGCTCAACCTGCATGTAAAGGGAGTTAACAAGGCTGGCCTCCAATCAGTATAAAGCTGGGGGCTGGGAGAGTGAGGGAAGTCGCATGACCTACACCCTCCATCACACGATGTCAGGAGTGGGATCAGCTTCGGCTACGGATGGGCAACTTTTGTCCTTTGTGACCTGTGACTTGCACAGAGAGAAACACAGAGCTCACTATACAGCCAGACCAAGGTTCCAAAGAGGACATTGGAGACCAAATCGTGTGAGAACAATTCATTGAAGTGCTGCCCCCAGAGGCCAAACAAAGAATATACAGACATCATGTCCAGGTTTGGATGAAGCAACAACAAATGACATGTGTACAGCGCTCTCCCCATCGGCCTGATCAACCCCACTCCCCCGCTCTCTCTCTCCCCATAGCCCTGATCAACCCTACCCCCCTACTCTCTCCCCATAGGCCTTATCAACCCCACTCCCCCGCTCTCTCCCCATAGCCCTGATCAACCCCACTCCCCCGCGCTCTCCCCATAGCCCTGATCAACCCCACTCCCCCATTCTCTCCCCATAGCCCTGATCAACCCCACTCCCCCATTCTCTCCCCATAGCCCTGATCAACCCCACTCCCCCGCGCTCTCCCCATAGCCCTGCAAACTTGTCCTCCCCCAATAATTATCTACTTCTCTCTTACAAGTTGTTATGGAATCGGTTCCCACCGGCCTTTCAGGCAATGCATTCCAGATCCCAACAACTCTCTGTGTGAAAACATTTCTCTTCACCTCCCCTCTGTTTCTTTTAAAAACTATTTTAAATTGTTGCCCTCGGGTTACCGACCCACCCGCCAGTGGGAACAGTTTCTCCTTGTTCACCCTATCGAATCCCTTCCTAATTTTGAAAACTTCTATTAAGTCTCCTCTTAACCTTCTTTGCTCCAAGGAGAATAATCCCAGCTTCTCTAGTCTCTGCTGATAACTGAAGATAAATGGTACAGTTTTAAAGGGAGTGCAGGAGAAGAGAGACCTGGTGGTTCACATACATTTATCTTTGAAGGTGACAGGACAGGTTGATAGAGCTGTTAAAGAAGCATATTGGATCCTCAGCTTTATAAATAGAGGCATAGAGCACAAAAGCAAGGAAGTTATGTTGAACCTTTACAAATCACTGGTTAGGCCTCAGCTGGAGTATTGTGTCCAATTCTGGGAACCAAATTTCAGGAAGGATATCAGGGCCTTAGAGAGGGTGCAGAGGAGATTTACTAGAATGGTACCAGGGATGAGGGACTTTGGTTATGTGGTGAGATTAAGGAGGCTGGGATTATTCTCCTTAGAGCAGAGAAGGTTGAGGGGAGATTTAATAGAGGTGTTCAAAATTATCAGAAGTTTTGATAGAATAGTTAGGGAGAAACTATTTTCTCTGGTGGATGGGTTGATAACCAGAGGCCACAGATTTAAGATAATTGCAAAAGAACCAGAGGGGACACAAGGAGAATTTTTTCACACAGAGAGTTGTTATGGTATGGAATTCACTATCTGGAAGAGTCGATGGAAACAGATTCCATAATAGGTTTTAAAAGGGAATTGAATAAGTACTTAAAAAGGAAAAAATTCCGGGAGTATGACTAGTTGGCAGCTCTTTCAAAGAGACAGGACAGGTACGATGGGCCGAATGGCCTCCTTCTGTGCTGTAAGATTCTATGATTCTATGTCCATTTATCCTCATTTGAACTGTCCTTGAGTAATGCCTCCCAGTATCTCAGCTCAGCCCTCAGACTCCTTAAGTTTTGCTCCCCGGAGTTTAGTAGTTTAACGGGTAGAAAACAGAGAGTAGGGATAAACGGGTCATTCTCGAATTGGCAGGATGTAACTAGTGGAGTGTCACAGGGATCAACAACAACAACAACAACAAGATTCCATTTATAAAGCGCCTTTCACGTCAGGAGGACGTCCCAAGGCGCTGCACAGTTGGGTCATGACCCGAGCAGGGGGAAATGGTCAGGGTGAGGGAAGGGAGGGAGCGAGGAGGGGGGAAATGGTCAGGGTGAGGGGAGGGAAGGGAGGGAGCGAGGAGGGGAAGAGAGTCGAGAGGGGAGCTGAAGGCACGGTCAAAGAGAAAGGTTTTGAGACCGGCCTTGAAGGAGGAAAGGGAGGAAGCGGCGAAGGCACTGGGGGATGGAGTTCCAGAGCCTGGGGGCTGAGAGGCTGAAGGCCCGACCACCGATGGTAGGGCGGTTGGGGCGGGGGACGTGGAGCAGACCAGAGCCAGAGGAACGGAGGGGAGGGTACGGGCAGGTAGGTAGGGGGATAGTAGGTTGGAGAGGTAGGAGGGAGCAAGGCCGTGAATGGCCTTGTAGGTGAGGATGAGGATCTTGAAATCAATCCTCTGGGGGATGGGGAGCCAGTGGAGGCGAGCGAGGGCGAGGGTGGGAGTGATGTGGTCCCGAAGCCTGGTGCGGGACAGTACACGAGCTGCAGAGTTCTGAATGACCTGCAGCTTGTGGAGGGAGGTGGCGGGAAGGCCGGCGAGGAGAGAGTTCCCATAGTCCAGCCTTGAGGTGACAAAGGCGTGGACCAGAGTTTCAGCAGCGTGAGGGGTGAGGTAGTGCCGTAGTCTGGCGATGTTCCGAAGGTGATGGAAGGCGGTGCCAGTTGTAGTGCGGATGTGAGGGAGAAAGGACAGCTCAGGGTCGAACAAATCAGTGCTTGGACCTCAGCTATTTACAATTTACAGCAATGATCTGGACGAGGACATTGAATGTAACGTATCTAAATTCACGGATGACACTAAACTCGGTGGGAGAGTGAGCTCTGAGGATGATGCAAAAAGATTGCAATGGGATATAGATAGGCTCGGGGAGTGGGCGAGTAGGTGGCAGATGGAATTTAATGTGGGGGAGTGTGTTATTCACACTCACCAAGGTATTATTCACCAAGGTAGAAAAAATAGAAAAACAGATTATTTTCTAGAGGGGGAGAGAGTAGATAGTGTTAGTGTTCAGAAGGATTTGGGTGTCATTGTACACCAGACTCATAAAGTTACTTTGCAGGTGCAGCAGCAACTAAGAAGGCGAACGGCAGTTAGCGTTCATTGTAAAAGGTTTAGAGTACAAGAGTAGGGAAGTCTTGCTGCAACTGTATAGGGCTTTGGTGAGACCGCACTGAGAGTATTGTCTGCAGTTTTGGTCTCCTATTTAAAAAAGGACATACTTGCCCTCGAGGGGGTGCAGTGTAGATTCACTCGGTTAGTGCCTGGGATGAGGGGACTGACCTATGAGGAGAGGCTGAATAAACTGGGGCTGTATTCTCTAGACTACAGAAGAATTAGGGGGGATCTTATTGAAACATATAAGATTCTTAAAGGGCGGACACAGAGGGACTGTTTCCCCGGTGGGAAAATCTATAACCAGGGGTCACAGTCTGAAAATTAAGGCTCAGCCTTTTAGAACAGAGTTGAGGAAACATTTCGTCACTCAGAGGGCAGTGAATTTATGGAATTCACTCCCCCAGAAGGCTGTAGATGTCAGTCCTTGAACATCTTCAAGGCTGAGACTGATAGATTTTTTAAAAAATAGAGGGATTAGGGGATATGGGGAGAGGGCAGGTAATTAGAGTTAGGTCTGAAGATCAGCCATGATCTTATCGAATGGCGGGGCAGGTGTCGAGGGGCCAAATGGCCGACTCCTGCTCCTAATTCTTATGTTCTTATTTATCTTATATTGTCTCACCTCATTCCTGGCCTCTCTTAATACTCCAAATGTGGCCAAATGAATAGTCGGGGTTCTAACATGATCCCTTTCTTTTATTGCTAACTTGGCTGAAGAACACTTTGCTGTTTCTTTTTATATTTTTGCTTCATTTTCCTCATGGTTCCTCTTTGCCTTCTGAATAGTCTGTTTAAACTCTTCCTTAAGTTTGCTGTATTCACTCCTGTTTTCCTCTCCGTTAGCTAATCTGTACTTTTGAAAAGATTCTTTTCTGAGCTGCAGTTTTCTCTTCCCTCCTTATTCATCCATGGAGTCCCATTCCTATTCATTTTATTTAGTTTCTTAGTGGAATATCTTTCTGGTGCTGAAAAGTCTTCCATTGTTGCGCTATATCTGTTTGTTAATTTTCAGCCCATCTGATTTCATCTCCAGGTGGGTCTGACAAGAGCCTGAGGGTCACATCTGGGGATCTGAACTCAACTGATTTAGAACACAGCCCAGTGTCCTGTTTGCCTGTTTATTGCTGCCTCACACTGTGTGACACAGTGAGTCACTAGTCAGCTAACACCGCGAGATCGCTCTCAGCTTCCCCCCTCGGCCAGTTCTATCCAATCCATGGAGGCCGGTGTTTCCTAGTCTCGGATCTCATATGAAGTACCTTGCATTTGTTTGTATTCCATTAAAACTTCAGAATGTGCGTTGGGGTAATTGTTGGATTTTTACCAGTTAAAGCCACATAAGAACACACCACCGTTAGGCCTTTGGATTGTGGGATCAACAGGAGCTGAGTTATTGGCCTCACTTAAAAATCTGGTCTAAACAAGATTTTGTACAAATTCAACATCACCTCCTCACTTTTATCTTATATTCCTCTAGATATAAAGCCCTTAAATCCCAATGGCCTTTTTTTNACAGCCCTATCTACCTGTGGAGTAGTAGGAATCCCTGACTAGTCTAATGCTAACTAGTCTACTGATGAACCAGCTTGGCTAGTCTGTCATCAGCAATGCCTGGAGTACTGTGAACCCACCTGGCTCAGGAACCAGAGTAATGACCTTCACAGAGATTCCAACATTTAATTGCCAGGTGTGACTATGGAGACCCCACTTACCTCCCCAGCCCCCAAGGAGGATACTCACGGAGGCCTGAAGGCAGCCTTATTTGGTAACTTCCACATGTATGCGGATGACACCCAACTCTACCTTTCCTCTTCTACCCTCAACTCCACGACCCCCGATGTCCTGACAGCTGTCTGTCCGACATCGAGTCCTGGACGAGAGACAACTTTCTTCAGCTCAACGTGCGAAAAACCGAGGCCCTCCTGATTGGCTCACGTCAGCGCCTCCGCACCTCAGGCACCGACACCATCAGCTCCGCACTCTCCACCTCTTAAAGCCAGTCAGGAACCTCGGGGTTCTGTTCGACCCTGAGCTGTCCTTTCTCCCTCATATCCGCGCCACAACTGGCACCGCCTTCCATCACCTCCGGAACATCACCAGACTACGGCACTACCTCACCCCTCACGCGGCTGAAACTCTGGTCCACGCCTTTATCACCTCAAGGCCGGACTATGAGAACTCTCTCCTCGTCAGCCTTCCCGGCCCTCCCTCCACACTGCAGGTCATTCAGAACTCTGCAGCTCGTGTACTGTCCCGCACCAGACACCGCGACCACATCACTCCCACCCTCGCCCTCACCCTCGCTCGCCTCCACTGGCTCCCCATCCCCCAGAGGATCGATTTCAAGATCCTCATCCTCACCTACAAGGCCATTCGCGGCATTGCTCCCTCCTACCTCTCCGACCTACTATCCCCCTACTTACCTGCCCGTATCCTCCGTTCCTCTGGCTCCGGTCTGCTCCACATCCCCCGCCCCAACCGCCCTACCATCGGTGGCCGGGCCTTCAGCCTCTCAGCCCCGAGGCTCTGGAACTCTATCCCCAGTGCCTTCGCCACTTCCTCCCTTTCCTCCTTCAAGGCCAGTCTCAAGACCTTTCTCTTTGACCGTGCCTTCAGCTCCCCTCTCGACTCTCTACCCCCTCATCGCTCCCTCCCTTCCCTCCCCTCACCCTGACCACTTCCCTCTTCCTCGACCCCTCCCTTCCCTCCCCTCACCCTGACCATTTCCACCCCTGCTCGGGTCCTAACCCAACTGTACAGCGCCTTGGGACGTCCTCCCGACGTGAAAGGCGCTCTATAAATGGAATCTTGTTGTTGTTGTTCTTGCCCTTGACTCAGAAGGTTGGATGTTTAAGACCCATATTGGGATCTTGAGCTCCCACAATCCAGTCTGTCAGTTCAGTGCTCAGTGCAGGGAAATCTCATTGCCGGAGATCCCATCCTTCAGATGAGGCATCTCTTCACTATCTATATGCTCCCGTTCACCAATGTCATCTGCAGATGACATGTATACAGAGGATACCCAGCTCTATCTGTCAGCTTCCAGCCTGGACTCCAAGACCTCTGCTATGCTGACTGATCGTCTGTTGGACAAGTCCTACGAGTAACAGTTTTCTTCAGCTGAACTCAACAACCTCTGGCGCTGACAGCATCACAGGATGCACACTCCACCAGTATGTAACCTCTGTTAACTATCTCCAAACTATCATTTAAGCCTCACATCAGTGCTCTAACCCACTCAGCTTTCCCTCAACTACATCTGACACTACCTCTCTCCTCCAGGACCCTCATCCATGCATGCATTATGTGTGTGTTTGTGTGTCTGTAATTTTATTGTTGTTGTTATATGTACTCGGTCGGCCGAGTGTCTCGACACATATGGAAACACATCACCATTGCATAAGAGTCTCCAAACCAAACTGATATCCCACCTACATATGGAAATCCCAGAGATAGATTGTTGGAATGGAATGCGCTCTCTCTCCGTAATTCTGGAAAGTATTAGGCACAGGTTGGCAAGGGCCAAGACTTGGGAACCTCAGAATGTGAGACACTGCTGGAGTCTAACCAGCTAAACCCACACAGCTTGCCATTGATATCACTGTCTGGCAAGCTTTCCCGCTGCTTGTCCTGCTAGGACCACATTAGGGCTTGGCTTAAAGGGTTAATAGGAGCTGAGTGTGAGGATTCCCTGCCCCAGTGACTGGTCTGTCTTTTATTTAAGGTTAATTATTTGTGTCTAGAGCCTTGATATTAATTTACTGATCCCACAAATAATTCCAATAATTCTGTGATGTACAATAACTATTTAATCTGTAATAAATTCATCAATCAATCCAACAAACTAATTAGTTACATTCAATATGTAAAGAAAGGTGAAGTTAGTATGAAGTACTCACATCAATGAACAGCTTCTCTTTCTTCAAATAAATGGTCTCTATGGTATCCGCTCTCTCCAGTTCAGTCACCAGCACCCCTTCTGTGGTAGGTACTTCTGAAGATGTCTCTATCACAGAAGATCAAATGGTATTTAGGTCTGGAGTACAAAGCTGGTATCAGGCACATAAACCCGCATGTTGGCCAGCAATTCTTGCTGTGGTTTCTCCCTAGCACCTGTTCCAATTGCCACACCCATTAACATTCCTCCTTATCAAACCTGTGAAAGCAACCACCTTTATTCAGCAACCACTGACTAACTGTCACGGTTACCCTATGCTTGCAGTCCATAGTAATGTGTAAATAATATATATACTATACAATATTATTTAAGCGAAATGGGGAGGCCTGTCCCTTTAAATGGATTGTTGCAAAAGCTGTTTGCAAGAGACTTAGTGAACAACATACATGAGGTTCCCGAAGTGCCATCATGTATAAGCCCCGGGCTGTTTGACTGACAGTCAGTTAACAAGCACCCTGGAGAGTGGAATAACATGTGACTCCTTGCGTGGGAAATAGCCCTCAGTCACATCATACGGTGGGGGGAGCCACACGCCTGTATAAAACAATGCTGGGCTCCTTGTGGTCGTCCTCCGGTACGTGCTGACGTGTGCAGGACCACTGGACAGTCAGGGCTGGTTTATATCTATTTTACTAATGTTGTATTGTGCCACAAGTTGATATAGGTATGTAAGATAGTTATCGTTGTTTATCTTAAAATGTTGAATTCCTTATATGCCAGGTAGCCTAGGGTTACTAGATCTTAATAAAGAGCTGTTGTTTTTACTGAATGTATTCTCTCTGTTAAATAAAGCAGCCAGTTAGCGCTGTCAGTGCACTCACTCCCAATTCAGGGGCAGTTCTAAGTGAATGTAATGTGTTACCGACGTCTGCGTCTGGTGTAGCCTCGCAGGGCCATGTTGAGCTGCCCACATGATGCCCACAGATTCCCCCACTTACAGTGCGGTTGGTAAAGGTGCTCGGAGTCTACACACGGACCTACAGAAATGTTTGGATTCAGTGAATGAACTAATGAACCCTTAGAGGCCACCCTTACATAAAGGCCACTTTGTCCATTCCCGAGCGGTTGCTGAAAACAGGTTTGACTGTGTCTGTACGTGTGGAGCACTCTTGCCTCTGAGTCAGAAGTTTGTGGGTTCAAGCCCCATATCGGAAATTTGAACACACAGTCCAAGCTGACACTCCAGTGTAGAGCTGGGGTGTGCCGCTTTGTTGGAGGTACTGTCCTTCAGATTAAACATTAAACCAAGGGCACGAAGAGGGAAGGGTGAATTAGACGTCATGTATGGGCAGTGAATTATAAGGCTCAACAAGTCTTTTGTGTGAAGTCTACAAGAGGTTTACAACAACAGACAGGCTTACTCAAGTAATGGGGTAATCAGTTTAGAGCGGGTGAGTATGCGGGCGGTAGAGTTTTGGATCATCTGAATTTTTGTGGATGATGGAGCTGGGGAGACTGACGAGGAGGGCACTGAATGGTTGAAGCGAGAGGTGACGAACATATGGACGAGTGTTTCTGTTGCGTCTGGGGTAAGGTACGGTCAGAGACGGGCAGTGTGGCGGAGGTGGAGGAAGGCAATGCTGGTCAGGGACCGGATGTGGGGGAAGATATGCAACTTATTGTTGGCGTTGACAATTCAGCACTACCCCAGCTATAAGCTCTATGACTCAGCCTGAGCTCTATTGTAATAATAATAATCCTTGCATTTGATATATTGTAGGTGGAGTAACTGAATGACATGTTCTGCAAACTTCACTGAGAAAACCAAACAATGATGAGGTGATACCCCTCACACTGACCTCGAGGTACCCTGCTGCCCAGTGCGATTTGCTCCATGTTGCATTCAAGGTCAAAGGATGAGCAAGTCCACTCTTTGGCTTGTCTCTCGCTCTGTACTGGAACACCCAGACACTGAACATCTTTCTCTCCAGCAGAAAAGCCTGTCTGGTCCTTTTCAATCTCCTGTTGCTGATCTTTAAGGAATTCGTCATGGATGTCCATTACATCATTTACAAATTTCTGTATCTTTATCCGAGTCTCTGTATCTGTAGCAATCCTGGGCTCAGGATTCCCTAAGGCAAGTACTTCACCTAGAATTACAAACAGGTAAAACTTCATCTGTTATTTTACATCAATTAAAGTCAAAACACCATGAACAGGTGTCAGCCTGGCTCAGTTGATCGCAGTCTTGTCTCGTCAATGTGAGATTGCCTCACACCCTGACATGGCCTCAGGCCCAATGCTGCAGAAACCACATCCAGGATTTGTTCAACTCCAACCTCAGTTTCCTCAATGTCCTCCTTACTGATCAGAGGTGCTGTCCTTCAGAAGAGACACTAAACCGTACTCCCATTTACTTTGTGGAGTCCTGTAGCTCAGTGGTTAGAGCACTCGCTTTGCAAGTGAGACACCTGAGTTCAATTCCAGGCAGAGGGCAAAACCTTGGGCAAGTTTCCTTACTCCACACAGAGCCTAATAATAATCCTCCAAAACCAAAAACGATAATAAATTGGTCATTTTCAATCCACGACTGTTTGTGGGACATTGCTGTGCGCAATTGGCTGCCGCGTTCGCCCACAAATATACAGTCAATTCACTTTACAGTGTGTTCTGTGAAGCGCTTTGGGACATCCTCCCGACGTGAAAAGCGCTATATCAAATGCAAGGATTATTATTATTATTATTATATACTAACTATTCTGTGTCACTATTTGAAAAGAGAAGGGAGTTCCATGGACAACAATTCCCAGATAAACAACAACAACTTGGATTTATATAGCACCCCCCCACGCCGGACAGCGTCTCAGAGCTTTACAGCAACGGATCCTGGGACCGAGCCGGGGTGGGAGGGGAAGGTGATCAAAGGCGCGGTCGAAAAGAAAGGTCTTCAGCAGAGACCTGAAATGGTCATTTGTTTCATGGAACATATCTGTGCACCAATTGATAGATTTTTGATAAGTTTATAGAATTTGTTAAGTCAGGATATTAAGGGACATGGGGAGAAAGCGGGAAATTGGAATTGAAAGGATTAGTTGAGGTACAGATCAGCCATGATCTAATACAGGCTCGAAGAGCTGAATGGCCAACTCCTGTTCCTATGTTTCCTATGTTCCTATTCCTATGACTGCTGCATTCATCTAAAAAAACAATCACTTTACAGTGAAAATCCTGTGAAGCATTTTGAGACATGCTCCCAATGTAAAACCAGCTGAATCCAATGCAGGGATTATTCCAACACAGGAGCAAACTTCATCTCCATCGGGGCACACTTGCCAGTTAGCCTTATGTCCGTCTGTTGTGGATAAACTTTTAGAAGCAATAATAAGGGGGCAGGTGAGATCAAGTAGGCACAAGTTAATGAAGTACAGTTAGCATGAGTTTAGCAGATGTTTTTTGGCAGATTTAATATAGTTCTCTTTTTTGGTCAGCTGGATGTCTGACACATGCAGAAACATGCGACAATCCTTAAGAGTATCCAAACCAAACATGCAGTTCCATGCAACCCCATGGATTGTAATGGACCACACATTCTCTCGCTCAGAGGAAAGCATCCAGCATTCAAAATTATGAGGGGATTCGATAGGGTGAACAAGGAGAAACTATTCCCACTGGCGGGTGGGTCGGTAACCCGAGGACACCGATTTAAAATAGTTGTTAAAAGAAACACAGGAGAGGGGAGGAGAAATGTTTTCACACAGCGATTTGTTGGGATCTGGAATCATTGCCTGAAAGGCCGGTGGGAACCGATCCAATAACAGCTTTTAAGAGAGAAGTAGATAATTATTTGGGGAGGACAAGTTTGCAGGGGCTATGGGGAGAGAGCGGGGGAGTGGGGTTGATCAGGGCTATGGGGATAGCGCGGAGGAGTGGGGTTGATCAGGGCTAAGGGGAGAGAGCGGAGAGTGGTGTTGATCACGGCTGTGGGGAGAGAGCGGGGGGGTAGGGTTGATTTGGAAGCTCTTTTAAGAGCTGGCACAGACACGATGGGCCGAATGGCCTCCTCCTGTGCTGTATTAGGCTATTATTAGGCTCTGTGTCCTTTTCATGTTTTAAAAGGACGTTTCAAAGTGCTCAACACTGCCGGCTGTGCACCTGAGTTGAGGGTGGGAGCCGAGAAAGGTGGGATGGGGTGTGGGAAAAGATGACCGAAAGCTTGGTCAAAAAGTTAGCTTTTGATGCGCCTTGAAAGTGGGGCGGGTGCAAAATAGCGATGGTGGGGCAGATGGGGTGGGGGACATGAAACATTAACAATAATAAAATAATCCTTGCATTTGACACAGCACCTTATCATGTCTTTGAGACGTATCAAAGCGCTTCACAGAATATGATGTAAATATTTTGTGGGTGAAACGCAGCAGCCAATTGTGCAAAGCAATGTCCCACAACAGTCATAGATTGTGTAACCACATTTTTAAAAATGTTTTTAAAGGATTATTACCCCCGCAAAGTGATCCGCCAATTGACTAACAACCAAGTTCCTACTGACTGCTGGTAAACAGAGGGGTGTGGAGTAAGGAAACTTCCCCAAATTTTCTTCTTGCCGGGATTCAAACCCAGGTCCCTCACTTGCGAGGCAAGAGCTCTAACCAATGAGCTACAGGACTCCACAAGCTTGTGTTTGCTGCACAAAAGGAACGGCCGGGTCCGGAGATGACAGAGGTCGGGGAGGGGGTGGGGGGGAATGAAGGACGTAATGTCTCACTGGGGAAAGAGGGAGCTTTCTGAGAGAAAGCTGCACAGCACGTTACTCGGCCAGGGTGACTCCGATCTGTCCTGACAGTGAACAACTGAACACTGGCCTCACTTCTCTCTCTCTCTGTCTCTCTTCCCCCTCTCTCTCCCCCCACCCCCCACCTCTCTCTCCCGCCCACTCTCTCCCTCTCTCTCTCCCCCCTTCTCTCCCTCACCCTCTCTTCCTCCCCCTTTCTCTCCCCCACTCTCTCCCTCACCCCTTCCCTTCCTTCTCTCTCCATCTCTCCTCTCCCTACCCTCCTTGCCACTGTCTCTCCCCCCCCTCCTCTCGACCTCTTCTCCCTCTCTCCACGTCCCTCCCGCGCTCCCCCCCTCCCATCTCTCTTCCCTCCTCCCTCGCCCCCTCTTCCATCTCTCTCCTCCTCTTCCGTCTCTCCCCCACCTCTCTCTCCTCCCCTCCCTCCCCCTCCTCCCCCCCACCCCCTCCTTTTCCTTCCGTACCACCTGAGTACATTATAGCCAGGAATGTTAAGCCCTTGTTTGAGCCAAGTCTCTGTTATTGTCACTATGTGGCACTTGTGCATGAGGCTCACTAACCTTATATGTCACACTTCATGCATTTACACACATTCACTCCAAACCTTGCTTTATCTTTTTTGCTTGTTTCCCCTTGTCTGAAGCCCTCCCTCCTGCACCATTTCTCCAGCTACACATTAACCTGCTTTATCATGCTGTTCATACATACTCATTAGCAGGTGGCACTGGGAGTAATCCAGAGATTACCACCTTTGAGGTCCTGTCACAAGTTTGATCAACATTGGGACCTTGTTGTCCTCGAAGAGGGATGAGCATGACCAGAGTGCTCTTCATGCTTCCGATTTTGACGAGTTTCAATCTCCCATAAGGATGAATAGACAGTCAGAGACCCTCTGTGTGAGGCTATCCAGTGAGGTGCCCCAGCGCTCAGCATTGTGTAGCTTTTGGGGAATGTACCTGATCCCACAAGCCAGGGTGCAGATCCTCTAAAGAGTATCTTTGCCCAGACAAGGTTAGCCAAGCACCCTCTGACTGCCACCGGACAGAGCCACACCAAAGGGTAACTCACCATTCCACACATTTCCTGAAGAGAGAGAAAATGGATCCCTTCCTGGGAAAGGAAAAGACCAGCCTCAGATGTCTTACTCACCAAGGAACTGACATTCCAGGTGATGAAGGAGAGACCTGGTCTTTGAAAAATGTTTTCACGCTTCCACGGTGAGGAGTCTGCTGATGATCTGGTCAGTACAGTGTCCAGCTGGGCGCATGTACCACCCAGACTCACGTGCTACAGCCTGAAGCTTATCGGCAATACGAGCTTAATAATAATAATAATAATCCTTGCATTTGATATAGCACTTTTCATGTCAGGAGGACGTCCCAAAGCGCTTCACAGAACACACTGTAAAATGAATTGACTGTATATTTGTGGGCGAACGCGGCAGCCAATTGCGCACAGCAATGTCCCACAAACAGTCGTAGATTGAAAATGACCAATTTATTATTGTTTTTGGTTTTGGAGGGATTATTATTAGGCTCTGTGTGGAGTAAGGAAACTTGCCCAAGGTTTCGCCCTCTGCCTGGAATTGAACTCAGGTCTCTCGCTTGCAAAGCGAGTGCTCTAACCACTGAGCTACAGGACTCCACGAGTTTCCAAAACCCCCGAGCCCCCAACTCAAACCCTGCCTGGCCGGATAACGGCACCAACGGCGGGACATGAAGCATCAAAGACTGGGCTTTCAGCGTATCTGTTGCCAATCTCAACAACTCCCTTTAGCTCGCCCCCTTCCCGCGCCTCCTTCAAGGCAGACCTCGAGATTTAATTCAGGTATTCAAAATTATGGGCGGTTTTGTTAAGAGTAGATTGGGAGAAACTGTTTCCACTGGCAGGTGGATCAGTAACCAGAGGACACAGATTTAAGATAATTGGCAAACAGATTCAATAATAGCTTTCAAAAGGGAATTGGATAGGGACTTGAAAACAAAAAAATTACAAGACTGGGATAAGAGTGAGGGAATTGGGTAGCTCTTTGAAAGACCCAGCACAGACACGATGGGCTAAATGGCTTCCTTCTGTGCTGTAAGATTCTATGATTCTAAGTCCCAACTCAAGATCTTTTTCTTTGACCATGCTTTTCACTATCTTTTCCACTTCGCCCTCGCACCCTCTGCTCAGTTGCAAACCCCGGCTGTGCAGGTGCTACATAAACGCCAATTTATTTTGTATTCTATGATTCTAATAATAATCCTTGCATTTTATAAAGCGTTTTATTACATCTTTGAAACGTCTCAACACGCTTCACAGAACATACTGTAAAGTTAATTGACTATATCTTCTGGGTGAAACGCGGCAGCCAAATTGTTCCACAAACAGTCATAGATTGAAGTGACCAATTTATTATCATTATCTAGACTAGCTTCAGCAAAGATCACAAGGAGCCGAAGGCTGTGACTGTACGGTTACATCTTGAAAACTCTGAGTTACGCTGTCACTGAGAATGTGGAGATGTGGCTAAAGCCAACTTTATGGAATCAATTCAATATTCCAAATTAAATTAGTAATTAATAATCCTTGCATTTTGTATAGCGTCTGTCACAACAACAAATTGCAATTATATAGTACCCTAAGCATCAGGAGGACATCCCAAAGCGATGGAATAGTGAGGGTTTACACCCAAGCTGGGGGTTAGATTCAGTGAGTGGGGCCCAAAACGTGGTAGGAGGATAAGATAACTGAAGGCACACTCAAAGAGGAAGGTTTACAGATGGTCCTGCAAGGAGGTGAGAGAAGGGGCAAGGTAGAGGGGCTCCTGAATGGAGTTCCAGAAGGTGGAAGCCAAAAGGCTGAAGGCCCAACTGCTGATGGTTGAGCGGGCAGGGTTGGGGACGCAGAGCAGGTCAATGCCCGCAGAGCAGAGTTTGCAGGATTTGCAGCACCTGCGTGAGTTTGCAGGGTTTTAGGTTAAAGGAGATTACTGCTGTCTCCTCAGGTGAGAAGGCAGGAGCCAAGTAATGTCTCACAAAAGCCATGAAATTAATGACCAATTGTAGTTGGAGGATTGTTGGGGGAGAGAAACTTCTTTCTCTTTGAGTTGGGCCATGAAATCTTTTAACTTTCACCTGAATGGGAGTCCAGACCATGTGAGTTCAAGTTCCAACTTGGCTGAAGGGACTGAGGCGACAGGGTTTTAGCATAAGGTGTGCAAAATTAACATACTAACAATGGGTCAAAATGGGTGAGAGGTCGTGGAACATGTGATCAATTAATTATAGAGTCAATACAAAGAAAGAGCGCTGAAGGAAACGTACGATTGGATATGTTAATGAGGGATTGTAACATATTCACCAACCATTGAATGGTGAAAGATCGGGTATGTCAAATAACCGATTGTAAAAGCAAGACCAATGAGTGGATATACAATAACGGATTGTAAATGACTGACAAGAGATTGGTGGAAGGTATAGAGGGACTGGAATGAGAGTATAAAGATAGGGAGAACAAAGAACGAGGAGAAGGAAAAGATCGGAGCAGCACGAGTGAAGACTTGATGGAAGATCAAAAGCTTGAATAACCAGACAAGACAGATTTGAACCTCTGCTGAACGTCTCGTCCATTGCTTTGTTGTAATCCCTCCATGGTGTAACTTTATAGAACTAATAAAGTTTGACTTAACAGATTTTACCTAAACGGAATGCTGGGTGACCTCTTTGATATCTAACAAGGGGTTATAATAATAATAATAATCCTTGCATTTGATATAGTGCTTTTCACGTCTTCTCGACTTCTCAAAGTGCCTCACAGAATAGACGGTAAAGTGAATTGACCATATATTTGTGGGCGAAACGTGGCAGCCAGTTGCGCACAGCAGTGTCCCACAAACAGTCGTGGATTGAGAATGACCAATTTATTATTGTTTTGGAGGGATTATTATCAGGCGTGTGGAGTAAGGAAACTTTCCCAAGTTTTCGCCCAGCCTGGAATTGAACCTAGGTGTCTCGCTTGCAAGGCAAGTACTCTAACCACTGAGCTAAAGGACTCCTGCTGTAATAGTCCTTACAGCAGGGGAGATCAGAGGGTGACGCAAATGAAGTGTGTAACCACAAAAAAAATTGAAAGGTTAGATAGTGGATGACTCTGCCTGAGGGAATCTTGTCACTGGTAGAGGGATCATTACAAGAGACAAAACCTCAAATTCAAAGCTAGGGCAAGAAACATTTTCTCACACAGAGGGTTGTGAATATGTGTAACTCTGATCCAAGAGGCTGTAGAGATGAAATCAATAGAGTTGTTTAACAGAGAGATAAACAGAGGCTTGGGTAGCAGCGATATGAAGAGCTATGCGATATCAAGATGAGATTGAGGGCATGTAAGAGGGAATTGGACAAGCACAAGCAGAAGAAGGGTATCAGAGAGGGTACGGGAAAGAGCAGTGAATTAGGATTAAGATGGATGGCTTCATTGGCACTGAGAAAACTCTTGCTCCTGAGTCACTGAAGGCTGTGGGTTCAAGCCCCCACATCAGAACTTTGAATTCATGTGTAAGCTAAGACTGTATTTGTTACAGCTTCTGTTCTTCTAATGAGACATTACCAAAGACTTGTCTGCTTATTCAAGCAAATGCTAAAGATCCTGAAGCACTATTTCAAAAGAGAACAATGTTTATCCTAGTGTCCGGGCCAACAATCCCCCAAATAAAAAAAAGGTCATTCACGTCATGTCTGTTTGTGGCAATGTTACTGTGCACAAATTAGCTTCCGTGCTCGCACACAAAACACAGTCGCTATACTTTACAGTGAACACTGTGAAGTGCTCTGAGATGCCCTCTGAGGGTGCTGTATCAAATGTAAGTTATTATTTGATTATAATTCAAAAGGCAAAATCTGAACCTAGGCCAGAATTGGTCAGCATGTGCTACCTACTTTCCTCTATCTCTCTGAGTCTGCGTTTCTCCTCAGCTTTTCTCCTGACCTCCGACACAGCGGCAATGCTGGCCTCAATCTTTCTCCGTTCACTTGATTCCCATTTCTCCCTCTCCTCCAGCTCAGCGTCACGGCCTCCCTGGGCCCAGGCCTCCGCACATGCTCTGTCACACACAAAATGACGCTGTGTTACAGCTGAAGATGAAATATGAAGCAAATTATACCCACACCCCCTCACTCAGCCCCTCTCCCTCACTTGGTTACACTCCCCCACACTCAGCCTCATCACCCCTTCAACTCCCCTCACTCCTTATCAATTATTGATGTAGCACCTTTCATGATGGGAAATTGCCCCAAAGTGCTGCACAGTCCAATGCTTGTACCTGAGCCAGAATGGGGGCTGTGGAGTGTGCGGGAAAAGATGACTGAAGGTGATATCAAAGAGGGAGGTCTCGAGGAGAGAAGGAATAAGTCATAGGAACTCCAGGAGGGAGTTCTGCAGATTGGGGCAGACAGGCTGAATCCCCACTCCCCCCCGGGGACGTGAAGCAAGCCGGTACCAGCCAGGGCAGGCTTGTGGGGTTAGAGAAGGTCACAGAGGTCAGGTAGGATAAGACTGTGGAGAGATTTAAAGGTGAGGAGCTGGGCGAGGATAGTGATGATAAGCTGGTGCCTGGTGTGGGAAAGGACACAAGCTGCAACTTTTGAAGAGAAGAGCAGTCTTTCACTCAGCCTCACCACCCTTCACTCACTACTCTTAATAATCACCCCTTCCCTTGCTCATCCTCACTCTCTCTCAGCCAACTTCCACTCACCATCCCTCACGCAGCCCTCCTCCTCCTCCTCCTCCTCACCCCCACCCACTTACTCAGGCTCACTCTGCTTCACCCAGCCTCACACCCTCATACACCTCAGTCCCTCACTCAGAGTTACTTTTCTTCCTCATCACACAACTCATTCCATCTTAGCCTCAATCCCTGTAACTCAGCCCCAATCCCCCACTCCTCATTACTCAGTTTGGCAGCCAGTACAGTCTGTTCAACATGAACAACAACTTCACACAGGAAAGCATCTCAGAGTGCTACAGCAACAGGGTTGGAAGCAAAGGCGAAGAGGGGTGTTCAGGGCAGATTTGAAAGATTATTATATTTATTATCATCGTTACTTCAAAGCTACAGTTCAATAAATCTACTTTTCATCTCCAGAACGTTGCCGGGTTACAATCTTATCTCATCCCTCCTGCAAGTTCTTATTCATGCCTTCATCACTTAGAGGATAGATATGCTGACCTCCTACACACCTTCTAAAAGCTCCATATCTTCTCTAACTTTGCAGCTTGTATCTCCTCACAACATCAAATTGCATCTATGAGCGCCTTTCAGGTGGAGTCCACTATGCACTGGACAGTCAAGGGTCTGTACCCGAGCTGAGGGTTGGAGGGTAAAGAGAGTGGGGGTGGGAGAATGATCGAATGCATGGTCAAGGAGGAACCTGTTGGGATGGGCAAAGGGAATCTGGGATGGAGTTCTAAAGAGTTGGGGACGGAAAAGTCCCGAATGCCGATGGTGGGGTGGACAGGGCGGGGGACGTGGAGCAGGCCAGTGCCCACGAGGCGGCAGGAGTGGACAGGTTGGTAAGACTTTAGCAGGTCACAGAGGTAGGGAGAGGCACGACTGTGGAAAAAATTAAAAGTGAGGATCTTAACCTCAATCCTCTGGGGGATGAGGATCTGGGGAAGGATGGGGGTGATTGGTGCAGGAGAACACACAAGCTGCAGAGTTTTCAATTAATCTGCAGGAAAGTGTTGGGAACAATCTCTCCAGCAAGGAGAGTTTGCATTGTCAAGCCTGGACATGATGAAAGCCTGGATGAGGGTTTCGGCAGCCTGAGGGGAGAGGCAGCAGTGGAGCTGGGCAATGTTGTGGAGGTGGGGAAAGGTAGAGTGGATCACAGCACGGATGTGGGGTAAAAAGGACAAACAAGTTGAGGGTCAAACAAGACGCCAAGGATCTGTAATGGTTCGGTGAGGTGGAGTATGCATCCCTGGATGGTGATGCTGCCAATGCCTGAGGTGTGGAGGCGATGACGGGAACCAATCAGGAGCCTCGGTCTCACCGACATTCAACTGTAGGAAGTTAGCTCTCATCCAGGATTTGGTGTCTGACAGACAACCTGCAGTTGTCCTGGAGTCGAGGGTGGAGTTAGAGAGATAGAGTTGGGGGATCAGCCACATACATGTGGAAGTTAAACCATTGCCTGTGGATGACTTCACTGAGCAGAAGCATGTAGATATTGAAGAGGAGAGGACGAAGGACGGAGCCCTGAGGAACGCCACATGTAATGGTTCAAGGGCTAGAAGGGGAAGTCATTAGTGGTTACAAAGCAGAAACAATGGGAAATAATAATTATTATTGCAAGGTAATAAGGTAAGCAAGGTAAGAGTGAAACCAAGGAAGGAGGAGCTGAGAGGAGAGGTGATGGGAGAAGAAGAGCGTCGAAGGCGGAAGAGATCAAGCAAGACGAGGAGGAAGATGGCCTGGTTACTGTTGGACAGATGTCATTTGTGACTTTGATTAAGGCAGTCTCTGTACTGTGAGCAGCATGGAAACCTGATTGGAAGGATTAATACAGGGAGTGGCGGGAGAGGTGAGATTGAAGCTAAGAAGCAACAACTCATTACAGGACGAGGCTCTGCACATCCATTACCCTCATTCCTGCCAATGTCAACTGGATCACAGAACTCCAGTATATCAACCTGAAACTCAAATTCCTGCCTGTGCTCCCTTTGGTTCCTGTGTAACCTGCTCCACCCCTATTCTCATCTCCCGATCCTTCATTTCTCTGCTTATTCCTGGCTGATCTATGGCTCTACAATTCTGGAACTCTCTCCCGAAACTGCTTCACTTGCTCTGTAACTACCTTCAAAAAACTTCTATAGAAATATTTTTGGTTAACATCTTATATTGTCTCTTCTTTCTACTCTTTTGAGCTCTTCAAGACATTCATTCTCTGTGCAAAATGTTATATAAGTACAAGTTTTGCTCTGCCATCTCATGATGCAGTGCCATTAACTTGCTAGGATGTTGTCACCGCCCCCACCACTACGTACCTGTCTTTAGGAAACACTGGCCTGTCATCCAGGTATGTGAGGTGCCTGAGGCGCAATGTAACAACCTTCCTGTAGTTGGAGATTTTTTTGATAACTTCATTCCCCATCAGATTTAACACACGCTGCAGACAACAAAGAGTTAATTAATGGCGTGATCCTGGCTACTACAATTTCTCCGCTCTTTTCACCTCTGAAGATGTGAATAGAGTGTCATTCCAATCAATGAACCATTAAACAATATCTTAGGACAATTTCAGGGAAGTCTGATGTGCAAATTGCTTCAAAAAGAGATTGTGAGAGTTGATATGAACAACTCTAATTTCTTTATATCTCCTTACAACCTCAAAACAACTCAAAGACTCACACTGTCAAGTGATATGACTGTTCACGTAGGTAAATGTACCACTACTTTTCACACAACCAAGCGCAATTTATCTGGAGGATTTTGGCCAGGAAGGACAAGGAGGAACTCTTGACCTTTGGCCTCTTGTTTACCCTTGCTGTGGGAGACATAAATGCAGCAAAACTTTTATCTTTTGCTTCCTGCAGTTCCTGCTCAGCATGTTAATTTACAACAGCTATTCTCCGATTAGAATGAGGAACTCGGCATTGATGAAGTTCACGTAAGCTGTGTAACACAACCTATGATATCTTGACATTACAATGTGTGACCAGCCCATATTTCTGTGGAAATTGCTGGTCATGAGGAGGAGCTCATACAACATTGGTTTAGATGAAGACCCTTCAGCCCATTTAACCTCAGCCTTCCAGACTACCCACCCTACTGTCTTTCTATCAACTCAGCAAAGTCAGTCTGCTTCGTATTCCATGCCCAATCTGCCTCTCATCGTCTGACTTTTAGTCATTCTCCCTCTGCTCTCTACTTAGGCAAAGGTTATGTGAACTTCATCTATGCCCTTCCCACCTTCAAACCCACTGTACTGAAAGAGTTAATGACTAAAGGTTCTACTGCTGATTGTGCAATCTGTGTGAAGGAAAGGTTAAAAGATCTTGAGAGTTCCTGTCGAGATGGACAGAAGCGGTAACTGATACCATTGGTACTGATCTTACATGTTAACCTAAGGAAGTCACATAAGGAAAGATCATTGCTCGTGGGAACTGGGATTGTCTTAGAATTTCTGGATGTCCTAAAACAGGAATGGCATTCTTTAGGGATGGAGAGCACGAGGGACAAGTAACAAATGAGTTCTCTGGTATGTGTTAGATCTGTTGGGGTATAAAAGGAGTTTTAGTCAGTATCAGTGAGCTACAGATCTGAAGATTCCCAGCTGCCTACTGTGCTCCCAGATAAAGTTACTGATCATACTTTTATTCTGGATGTTACCATTATTGCGCATTGTAATAATGGCTGAATGTGCTTTGTGCAATTCTTGGGTGATGATCTGTAATAAAGGAAACTATTGTTTAAAAGTTAAATTTTGTGCACACTTATTTATTACTAATTTGTCACTAAAGTTTCCTTACACCATAGCTTCAATTGCATTTCGGCCACTCCCCACCCAACCCCCTCACCTGAATCTTATGTGCTGCACTCATGATCTTAAACACTCAGTCGGACATGATGGTGAGGAATCATGGCTCCACACAGCTCAAAGGTATTGGTTGGAAGATATCAGGGGCCTCAGTGCCCATTGTCGATTATTGGGACATGGATATTGTGGTGGACATTGTCCTGATGGACGCGCTGAGAAGGGGGTGAAGGTCTGGTCATTCTCGTCTTTCTTCAAGGACAGAAAGGTCCCAAAGCAGGTTGCACGTGTAGCGTCCTGTACAACAATGTTGTGAAGTCCTTTAGCTCAGTGGTTAGAGCACTCGCCTCGCAACCGAGAGATCTGGGTTCGATATACAGTCAATTCACTTTACAGTATATTCTGTCAGCACTCCTGTCCGCTCCAGTCTCAGCGTGTGCACATTGGCTGCCGCAATTAACCTGAGCTGCTTCCCCAAGATGTTCCCGACCCCGTCCCTCTTCCCTCTACTACCCCCCTCAACCCTCCTCTCCCTCTGCCTGCTCCGACTCTTATCCCTCCTCGAGTCCCCCACGGCCTCCCTCTGCTCCTCCCTTCACATTCTCCGGCGTGCCCACCGTGGTAGACGCCGTCGGCTATCCCTGACTGCCCCTTCCCCCACTCTCGCAGCAAGGTCCACCGGCCCTCACCCACAGAAGGCAACCTTTCCTCTCAAATCCCCACTCTGCCCACCCCCTACCCCCCCTCATCTGCCCCACGCTCCCACCACTAACTGTGCCCTCCGCATCGGCCTGCAGAATGTCCGCTCACTAATCAACAAGTCCCTCACAATCCATGACCTCACCGTTGAGGAAAATATTGACATCCTCGCCCTCAACAAAACCTGGGTCACCCCAGGCCACACCTTCCCACTAGTCGAGGCCACACCTCCAGGTTACACCTTTCACCAAAACCCATGGCCTAATCCTCGTGGCCGTGGTGTGGCTCTCATTTCCCGGTCCCCACTCGGCCTTTCCCCTTACTCCTCCGGAACCTTCCCCTCCTTTGAATACCTCACCCTCTACCACCCCTCCAGGCTTTCCCTCAAAATCCTCCTTGTTTACTGTCCCCCCAAGCCTTCTCCCACCTTCCTCTCCGATATCTCCACCCTCCTATCTTCCCTCTCCCTCTGCTCTGAACGCCTCCTAATCTTAGGCGACTTCAAACTCACCACTTCACCTCCTCCTGCTCTACTTCTGACGACTTCTCCTCCCTCCTCTCTTCGCTTAACCTCTCCCTCCTCATCCACTCCCCCACTCACGATGGTGGCCACCCCCTTGACCTGGATGATCACCCGGGGCCTCACCGTCTTGGACATCACCATCAAGGATAAGGCCATCTAGGACCACCACTTCATCTCCCTCAACACCTCATACCCCTTCCCTTTCTCAACCCTCCACTATCACATACTGTCCATGGAAAAAAAAATTCTCCCTCTCCCTCTCCACTGCCATCTGAACTCCTACACCTCTGGCCCTCACTGACCGATCTCCTCTCCTCACTCTCTTTTCTCCACAACTCCCTCTTCTCCATTCTGGACTCCCTTGCCCCCTTCACCTCCCAAACTGCCTCGTACTCCCATAAATCCCCTGGTACACCAGCCATCTCCGTTCCCTCAAGGCACAAGTGCGATCTGCCGAACGCGCCTGGACCAAATCCAAACTAACGGTCCATCGGCAGATTTGGCTTCACCATAACAAGACCTACCGCTGCGTTCTTGCCACCAAATCCTCCTTCTACTCCAAGGTTATCTTGGAGGCAAAGGACAACTCCAGGCTTCTCTTTTCCACCACAAACCCTCTCCTCCTTCCACCTTCCCATACTTCACCCATCTCTCCTCAAACTCCAACTGTGAGGAAATGCTGGACTTCCTCGAATCTAAAATCGAGGGGATACGTTCAGCCACCTCAGCCCCGTCTACAGCCACCCCCACATCACCTCTTCCTCATGACTCAATCCCCACCCATCCCCCCCTATACACCTTCGACCCTATCTCTCCCTCCACCCTCACCACGACAGTCCACAAACTCAAACCCACCACCTGCTCCCTCGATCCCATCCCCATCTCTTTCTTCATCTCCCAGCTCCACCTTCCGGCCCCTCTCCTGTCCGACACCATCAACCTCTCCTGGTCCACCAATTCAATTTCCACTCCATTAAAAACAGCCGTTATCACCCCCATTCTGAAAAAACCTTCCCTGGACCCATCCCTTCTCTCCAGCTACCGCTCCATCTCTAACCTCCCATTCCTCTCCAAGGTCCTCTCCAGCTTCCGCGCTGCCCATAGCATGGAAACAGCCCTGGTCAAAGTCACTAATGACATTCTGAACATCTGTGATCAGCTCTGCCTCCTTGTCCTCCTCGACCTCTCTGCCACCTTCGACACTGTCGACCACTCCATCCTCATACACCGCCTCTCCTCTTTACTTAATCTTTGCGGACCTGCCCTTGCCTGGTTCGATTCCTATCTCTCTCACTGTCTCCACTTTGTTGCCTCTAACGGTTTCTCCTCCAGTCCCCCCACTGTCACGTCTGGCGTCCCCCAGGGCTCTGTCTTTGGCCCTCTCCTCTTTAATATCTATATGCTCCCCCTTGGTGATATCATCCGCAGACATGGGGTCAACTTCCATATGTATGCGGATGACACCCAACTCTATCTTTCTGCCCCCACCCTCAACTCCAGGACCACTGCTGTCCTGACAGACTGTCTGTCGGATATCAAGTCCCGGATGAGGGCAAATTTCTTACAGTTGAATGTGAACAAGTCTGAGGCCCTCCTGATTGTCTCGCGCCAGCGCCTCAGCACCTCAGCCTCTGGCAGAATCACCCTCCATGGTTGCACACTTCAACTCATCGCCAGTCAGGAACCTGGGGGTCTTGTTCACCCTCAACTGTCTTTTCTTCCCCACATCCAAGCCATGACCCGCTCTGCCTTCCCTCACCTCCGTAACATCGCCCGACTCCGCCACTACCTCACCCCTCAGGCACTGAAACTCTTGTTCATGCCTTCATCACCTCCAGGCTCGACTATGCAAACTCCCTGCGTGCCGGCCTTCCAACTCCTCCCTCCACAACTGCAGATAATCCAGAACTCTGCAGCCCGTGTCCTCTCCCGCACCAAACTCCATGACCCCATCTCCCCCACTCTCCCCCGACTCCATTGGCTCCCTATCCTTCAGAGGATCCAGTTCAAGATCCTGGTCCTCACCTACAAAGCCCTCCATGGGCTCGCCCCACCCTACCTCTGCGACCTCCTAACCCCCTACCAACCTGACTGCTCCCTCCGCTCAGCCGGCTCTGACCTGCTCCACACCCCCCGACCCACCCACCCACCCCACCATTGGCGGGAGAGCCTTCAGCCACTCTGCCCCCAACCTCTGGAATACCATCCCCCAATCACTTCACTTCGCCCCCCTCCTTAGCCTCCTTCAAGTCCCGCCTCAAGATCCTCCTCTTCGACCATGACTTCGGTCACTGCCCTTCCCCTCCCTTCTCCCCCCCCCACCCCCCACCGACCCCAGCTCGGGTCTGAAATAATGTACATTGTCCAGCACCTTGGGACGTCCTCCCAACATGAAAGGCGCTATACAAATGTAATCTTGTTGTTGTTGTTGTATAGGCTGTGTACACCAGCTACTATGAGCTGCGTAGTATTTACTATGAGCTGTGTTCACTGTTCTATGGGCCGTGTACACTAGTTATTATGGGCTGTGTACACTAGTTATTATAGGCTGTGTGCACTAGTTACTATGGACTGTGTACAGTAGTTACTATGGGCTGTATAAACTAGTTACTAATGGCTGTGTACACTAATTACTATGGGCTCTGCACATTAGTTACTATGGGCCGTGTACCCTAGTTACTATTCGCCATGCACACTAATTACTATGAGCCGTGTACACTAGTTACTATGGACCACGTGCACTAACTACTATGGGCTGTGTGCACTACTCACTATGGACTGTGTGCACTAGTTACTATGGGCTGTGTACACCGGTTACCGTGGGCCATGTACACAACTTACTATGGGCCGTGTACACTACTTACGATGGGCAGGGTACACTAGTTACTATGGGCCATGTTCACTAGCTACTATGGGTGGTGTATATTAGATACTATGATACTATGGCCCGTGTACACTAGTTACTATGGGTGGTGTACACTAGATACTATGGGCCATGTACACTAGTTACTATGGACCGTGTACACTTGTTACAATGGACCATGTACACTAATCAATGTGGGTGGTGTACACTACATACTATGATACTATGGGCCGTGTACACCACTTACTATGGACCGTGTGCACTAGTTACTATGGGCCGTGAACACTAGTTACTATAAGCCATGTACACTAGCTACTATGGGTGGTGTACATTAGATATTATCATACTATGGGCCGTGCACTTGTTACTATGGGCCATGTACACTAGATACTATCAGCCGTGTACAATAGGTACTATGGGCTGTGTACACTAGTCTTATAGGCTAGGTACACAAGTTACTAGGGGGTGCATACACTAGATACTATGGGCTGTGTACACTGGATCCCAAGAGCTTGGTAATCTATAGGCTGGGTAACCTAATGGCTATGGGCCGTGTACACTAGTTACTATGGGCCATGTACTAGTTACTGTGGGCCGCATGCACTAGTTGCAGAGGGCTGTGTACACTAGTTACTATGGGCCGTGTACTAGTTACTGTGGAACGTGTACTAGTTACTGTGGGCCGTGTACACTAGTTACTGTCGACTGCGTACTAGTTACTGTGGGCTGTGTGCACTAGTTACTGTGGGCCGTGTACTACTTACTGTGGGCCGTGTGCACTAGTTACTGTGGGCCATGTGCACTACTTAGTGTGGGCCGTGTACTAGTTACTGTGGGACGTGTATTGGCTACTGTGGGCATTGAGCACCAGTTACTGTGGACCGTGTACTAGTTACTGTGGGCCGTGTGCACTCGTTACTGTGGGCCGTGTGCACTGGTTTTGTGGGCCGTGTGCACTGGTTACTGTGGGCAGCATACGCTCATTACTGTGGGCAGCGTACACAAGTTCCTCTGGATTGTGTACACTCAGTTGTTAGTCTGTTCCACATGCTCCAAATCCCTGCAAGCTTGGGAAGCCACCGTGTGTGACCCTCCTGCCTCCCGCTTTGTCTGTTTTGTCGTTTTTCTTTTCCTGTTGTTTTAAAATTGTTGAGATATTCAAGTTTGTCACCTTGTGACACCATCTTACAATCCACAAGCAACAAGCCAGCAGGCATTTGGTTAGAATCTCAATCCAACATCGTCCCTGACCGCAGGCTCTGCTCTTTTATATTCTGAGTTCAGTCTATCAGGTGATTGACACCAGATTCAATTGAGCCCAATAAATGACACCTGATTTAAATGAAACAAACACATTTGGTTTTAGCTGATTAAACCCCAGCAGTTATCTCAAGGTTCTTGCCATCCTGTATCTGATAATTAGGTAATTAATGCATCTCTCTGGGAAGAGAGTGCATATTCTCGCCAGAAACAGGAGAATTTCTAAGTGGAGGTGACATATGTGGAACTAACAGCTTGGTTTCAATACTTTTAAACAGGTGAGGGGTTTCTGAGTGAGTCAAACCAATAAATCCCTTCCCAGCTTTCTCGCCCTCGTTCAGGCTCCTCCTGGCTCAGTGTGTGAAGTTCTCTGTGACATTCCTCCCTTTCTCAGGGCTGTCCTGCCTCAGTGTGTATTGCTGGAACCTTTTGGGAAATGGTCATTTTTCTTCTGGTTTGAGGAAATAGTCAGATTGCTCTTGCTCCCTCCCTTTCCCTCTCTCTGTCCCTCCTACTGTCTCTTTCTGTTTAACTGTGTCAGTCCAGGAGTTGGAAGAGTCTGTTCTATCATTAGCAATGCCCTGGAGTACTGTGACCTGGAGTACTGTGGACCACATGGCTCAGGAGCCAGGCTAACTAGACTGCCACAGAGGGTTGACTCGGGGGTCACTTACCAGGTTGGGCATGACTTCAAAGACAGTGAGAATACTGGGATCACTGAGTTTGTTGTATGAAAAGTCAAGCACACTGATGCTGTGGCATTGTTTCAGGTGTTCAATGTCATGCAGAGAATGGAGCTGGTTATGAGCTATCTGCAGTGTGTTGAGCTGACGTAGGCAGGCTGACAGAAAAAGAAGACACAATAACAATGAGAGTTACACCAGTCATATGTTACAGATCACATGTGCTGAAATCTGACCATGTTCTTAATTTGGATGGTTGAATATTTGTAATAGAATTAGAGAAATGTACTCAGAAGGCCATTCAGGTAGCTGCTCCTCCAAGTCAGGAGATGCTTTTCCACTGATATATAGAGCTGGTCAAACCTCATTTGGAGTTACAGTGTTAATCTTAGATCTTAGACAGCATTCAACAATGGTTCACTAGCTTCAGTGTCTGATCCCTGTATTCAGGGTCTGACAATGTCTCTCCATCATCTTGCAAACTGTCACAGCAGCAAAATTAAGACTTCATTGTTTCAAGGAAATAAATTATTCAATATTCTCCTGGGGCGGGTAGGTGAGTGGTGTCTCCTCAGAGCTGAATTAGCTCCAAGGTGACATGTGAATGTTGGCATTGGAATGCTGGAATTGCGCCAGCCCTCTGTGAAGGTCTCTATTTCGGTTCCTGAGCCAGGTGGGTCTGTGGTATTCTAGGGCATTGCTGATGGCACAGCCAGCCTGGCTCATTGGCAGGACCTAGAAGAGCAAACCAGTCACTGGGGGAGGGAGTCATTCCACTCAGCTCCTGTTAACCCTACAAACCAAAACCCTAATAGGTAGGGTGGTCCCAGCAGGACAAGCAGTGGGAAAGCTTGCCAGGCAGTGATATCAATGACAAGCTATGGGGTTTTAGCTGGTTAGTGTCCAACAGTTACCCCAATGCACACTCTGTGGTCTCCAAACCTTGGCTCTTGACAATCTGCACCTAATACTTTCCAGAATTAGATAAGCAAGATGTGTCCCTCCAGCGAGTGAGTAACATTCCAATCCAACTATTTATCTCTGGGAATTCCATGTAAGTAGGATGCATGGAAATCTTAGCTCTGAGATGTCGTCCAACGTGGAGGGCGCTATATAAGTCCAAGTTGTTGTTGTTGATACTGTTTAAGCATTGGTGATGGGTTTTCGCATTTTATGTCAGATGCCTGGCTGGGCAAAAACAATTCAAATGCACTTCATGCTAGTAAGTCATGAATCTCGAAGACCCCAGAGGAATCAGAAGGAGAGTGAGCAGGTGACCACCCAGCATGATAGGAAGAGGAGATGAACAGAGCAGAAATCCTCCGAGTGTGGCACTCACAAACAGGTTCTCTGTACTGAATACCGAGAGGTGTCAAAAGCAAATTGATGCATAGCGGGACACAGGGAAGATTGCCAATGCAGTTGTCATTCGGCACACAACAGGCGTAGACAGGATAGACAGGCGTTTCTGCAACCGCAGTATGGTGTGTTGCCTCCCTGGTGCCAAGATTGAAGACTTCACGGATCGGGTGCAAAAGGGGAACAGCCAGAAGTTATGGTCCATGTTGGGAGCCATGACGTATGGAAAAAAGGCTGCGATCCTACAGGGAGAGCTTCAGAAGCTGGGGAAAAAAATAAAGAGCAGTGATCTCTGGATTATATCCAGTGCCTCAAGCAAGTGAGTATCGTAACAGCAGATCAAACACATGAATGCACGGCTGGAGAAATGGTGCAGAAAGAAGGGCTTCAGTTCCTGGAACATTGGAACCAGTTCTGGGGCAGGTGGCACCTGTACAAGGTGGATGGGGTTACATCTGAACAGGGCTGGGACCAATGTCCTTGGGAGGGAAGAGGACCAATCATGGGGGGACACAGGGGAAGAGTATCAATCACAGCGCCTTGGGATGTCCTCCTGATGTGAAAGGCGCTACACAAATGTAATTTTGTTGTTGTTGATCAAAGATATGGTCACAGCCCTGGAAAGGGATGATGTGCTTGAGGTTCAAAACAGAATCTATTTGGTTAGAGATAAGGTGCAGAAAAGGAGCTGTTACTCTGTTAGGTGCGTACTATAGACCATCAAATAGTGGAGTAGGTCTCAGTAGGAGAGCATCTGGACAACAGTGATCACAAGGCCATTAGGTTTAGAGAACTTATGGAAAGGGATAAGGAACAATCAAAGGTGAAGATACTCACCTGGAAGAGCCTAATTTCAGTGAGTTAATGGGGGACCTTGCCAAAGAAAGATCTGGAAAGAAAGATTGGCAGGTAAAACAGCTAACAAGCAATGGGAAGTTTTCAAGGAGGAGATAGCTCAGGGACAGAACATTCCCACAAAGGGGAAAGGTAGGACATCCAAACCTCTTGGATGATTAAGGAAATTGGGTTAAAATAAAACAGAGAAAGGAGGTTTATGATAAATGTCAGAAGATAATCAAATAGGATATAGAAAGCACAGAGGAAAGCTGAAAAAGGAAATAAGTGGAGCAAAGAAATTGTATGAGAAAAGATTAGCGAGTAACATGAAAGGGAACCCTAAGGTATTTTATAAGAATACTAGCTGTACCTGTTGCAGCTTCGCTTGTAACCAAAGGATCCAATATAGAATGTAGATTAACACACAGAGAGACATTTTGTCTTTATCTATACTCAGAGGATTCCTTTAATATATTTTCTCTCAGTTCCTCTCTGTGTATCTCTCAGTCTCTCTCTCTCAGTCTGTTATTCTCTCTCTGTCCGTCTCCCTCAGTCTGTCTCTGGCTCTCCCACAAAGCACAGTTACAACACTTTATAATATATTCTCTCTCAATCTCTATTTCACTATCTTTCTCTCTGTCTCTCTCACTATCTCAGTCTCTCTCTGTCTCTCGCTCAGTCTCTCTCTGTCTGTCCCACTTGGGAGGACTGTAGCTCCCATGACATCCAGAAAAAAGTGCCATACATTTGTTGCAGAATATAGATGTGCCTCTCTGAGCGGTGTATGCTTTCCTCTGTTGCTACTTAGTTGCAGAATACGATGCATAACTCATACTTTAGGGCTTAGTTAAAGCAATTTTTAATATAACTCATCAACGATAGGAGATCCCCTAAAAAATATGCCCGCGACACTGCCACTTGTAAGACCTTTCCGTTGAGATATAAATCATGTCTCTACGTCACTGCGTGATTATCGGATACACGGACACACACTTTGTCTTTGTTACTATAGATAAAGACTAAAAATACCGAAGATAATCAAACAGAATATAGAAAGTACAGAGGAGAACTGAGAAAGGAAATAAGAGGGGCAAAGAGATTGTATGAGAAAAGATTAGCAGGAACATAAAAGGTATTTTATAAGCATATAAAGAATAAAAGGTTAGTCAAAGGTCGGGTGGGTCCAATTAGGGACCAAAGAGGAAGTCTTCCTGTGGAGGCAGAGGGCACGGCTGACGTATTGAATGAGGACTTTGCATCTGTCTTCACAAAAGAAGAGGATGCAGTCAATGCCACAGTATCGGAGGAGAAGGGAGAGAAATTGGATACGAATAAACTGAGACGAGATACTAAAAATGTTGTTGGTGCTCAAGGTAGATAAGTCACCCGATCTGGACAGGAAGCATCCTAGGTTACTGAGGGAAGTAAGGGTGGATATAACAGAGGCTCCGGCCACAATCTTTCAATCCTCCTTGGACACCGCGGTGGTGCCAGAGCACTGGAGGGTTGCAAATGTTACTCCCCTGTACAAAAAGGGGCAGAAGGATAAACCCGGGAACTACAGGCCAGTCGGCCTAACGCCAGTAGTGGGGAAACTTCTAGAGACTATAATCCGGGACAAAATAAATTCTCAATTAGAAAAATATGGGTTAATAAAGGACAGTTAACACGGATTTGTTAAAGGCAAATCAAGTCTAACAAACCTGATAGAATTTTTTGATGAAGTAACGGAGAGAGTGGATGAAGGTAGTGCAGTTGAGGAATGAGGGGCTTCAGTTATCAGGAGAGACTAGAGAAGCCAGGATTATTCTCCTTGAAGCAGAGAAGGTTAAGGGGAGACTTAACAGAAGTTTTCAAAATTATGAAGGGATTCGATAGGGTGAATAAGGAGAAACTATTTCCACTGGCGGGTGAGTCGGTAACCCGAGGGCACCGATAGTTGTTAGAAGAAACAGAGGGGAGCTGAGGAGAAATGTTTTCACGCAGTGAGTTATTGGGATCTGGAATGCATTGCCAAGGCTGGGGGAAGCCAATTCGATAACAACTTTTGAGAGAGAAGTAGATAGATATTTGGGGAGGATAAATTTGTAGAACTACGGTGAGAGAGTGGGGAGTGGGATTAATTTGGACAGCTCTTTCAAAGAGCCAGCACGGATATGATGGGCTGAATGATCTCCTTCTGTGCTGTATAATTCTATGATTCTATGATAAGGCACTATATCAAATGTAAGGATTATTATTTAAGCCTGAAACAAAAACAGAAGTCGCTGTGAACACTCAGCAGGTCAGGCAGCAACTATGGAGAAAGGAAAGTGAGTCAACATTTCGGGTCCACAACGTGTCAACCAGTTCCAACCACAGTGTGGGACAAACCTGACCTGCTGTTCACAGCGATTTCTGTTTTTGTTTCAGATTTTCAGCATCTGCAGTATTTTACGTTTTATTATTTAAATCTCCCTGTCCTGTTGGTAAATAATAATTTATTATTATAATAAACTTCTGTCCAAACTATTGAAGATAAAATAATATTTGAACTTGGATTCTGTGTGTGAATGTAATAACAAACTGAACTGTGAAGCTGGAGCTCAATGTTGGGATTCTCCCAAGGAGCCCCATCATGATAGTGAGCTGTCAACAACCAACATAGTAGGGTGGAAGGTTCCATCAACATGTACATATTGGTTGAGCAGGTGACAAAGTACCTTGTCCATTGTAAAGACAGTCAGTTTGACGGGGTCTATGAGATTGACTTACACAGGTTTTCAATGGTTTGGATGAAGTTGTTGCTGAGGTTGAGAGAGTCCAGCTTCTGCAATGGCTCCAAGTTCTCAATTTTCTTGATGAGGTTATGATGTAAATAGAGAGAGGAAAGCTGTGTCTGTGCCTCCAGCTTCTCAATGCGGGACAGCCCATTGCATTCCAGCCACAGACACTTGAGGCCTGTGTACTCCTCCAGGCTCTCAATACAGGAAAACCCTGCAACAGTGCAAAGAAAGCACAGGACGCTCAATACCAACAAACAATCTCATGCTGCCAGACAGGGAGTACAAAAGGCACACAACACAGTACAATCCACATTCATACGCAACCACAACTTACATTGACATAGTTCACCTCAAACAGGATAGTGCCTCAGAGCTCTCCTGTATGAAGAGTGGGGCAAGAATGTGACTGATCAAAGAAGGGGGGAGAGAGGGGGCAAGTTGAAGGGACTTATGTAGAGCTGGGGGCAAAAGGCTGAAAACGCCAAACAATGGTGGGACAGACAGGGTGGGACAAACAATGGTGGGATGTACATGAAGCAAGTTGGTGTTTACTAAGTGAAGGGAGCGGTCAAGGTGGAAGAGTGGGGCGAGACTGTGGAGGACGAGGATCTTGAATTCGATCCACTGCAGGATTAGAGCCAGTAGAGCCAAGCGAAGATGGGAGTAATACACGCACAGAGCTTGGTGCAGGAGAGGACATTGCTAGATGCAAGTAATGCATTGGTATCGTCAAGCCTAGTCCTGAAAGTGTTATTGAGGATCTCTGTAGCCGAGGAGAAAGGTAGTGGTTAAGATGGGCAATGTGGAGAGGGTAGAGGAAAGCTAACTGAATATGAGCAGGTATGTGGAGTTTGAAGAGCCATTAGAAGATCAAAGTGGAAACATTGGGATAAATAAGAGTGAAGAGAGCAGATCACCTCTGCAATCTGCTGAACCCCATGTCAACCTGTCCGCTCCCTCCGCTCAGCAGGCTCCGGCCTGTTCCACTCCTGACCCAATCCTCCCCACTGTAGTTGGTCGGGTCTTCAGCCTCTCCGCCCCCACCTTTTGGAACTCCATCCCACATTCCCTTCGCTCGCTCCCTCCCTTGCCTCCTTCAAGGCACATTTCAAGACCCCCCACTTTGACCGTGCCTTCAGCCACCTTCCTACCCTCCCTGCCCTCCACCCTCCCTTATCCCAATACCCCTCCATCCCATGCTTGGGTCCAAATCCTTAACCGTGTAGGCGCTATATAAATGCAAGTTGTTGTCGTATAAGGATCTTGTGACTATCCTCTTTGGGGGGTGGGGAGCTAAGCATTGTTGATTTCCTCCAAGGTGACATGCATTGTAACAGAATGATGGAATCAAGTCAATTCTCTGTGGTGGTATCATTAGTCTGTTCCTGCACAAATTGGATCCGCTGTAGTTCAGGATACTGCTGATGACAGCCCAGCCAGCCTAGCTCATTGGGAAGGGACGTGTGCCCGAGCTGTGGGCAAAAAGATGGTAGCAATGCTCTCACTCATTTCATGCTGAGATGTGCTGCTCATCGGGAAGCTCACAGGGATTTCCTGATACCTACCATCCACCTTGTGAAGCTCAAACCTGCCCTTGTCAGATGTCAGAGGATCAATTAGTGACATCCTCCCCTTGTGGGGGAGGTAAGCGGGGTCTCTGAGCTGAACTCTCTTGAGCTGATTGGCCCATCACAAACCCGGACTCCAGCAGGCATTAGCTCAAACCTCAGCTTCCTCACTGATCACTGAGATTCAAGATGTTAGTAGTTGCACTTATACCTGAGAGACCCCCATCCACACCCACTATGTGTGGCTGCTGATCTGATACAAGCTAACTTTTTGTGGATTGACGACTGACCTTTATAATGCAGATAGAGGGTGTCGTTCAGGTACGGGGTCTGGTAAAGCTTCAGCCGCTTACAGTGCTCCCGCAGAAACTTCTTTGTCATTCTGAAAAATTACAATGGGAAGAAAGTTGTTAAATCACTGGCCTTATTTACTCTCATTCCTTCTTCAAGACGTCTCATCGCGCTTCACAGAATATACTGTAAAGTATAGTGACTGTATTTTTGGGCAAAACGTGGTAGCCAATTGTGCACAGCAGTGTCCCACAAACAGTCGTGGATTAAGTGACCACACTATTATTTTTTTTTTAAAAAAGGAATTATTACCCCCGGAAAATGATCCGCCAATCCACTAACATTCGGGTTCCTACTTACTGCTAGGTAAACAGAGGCGTGTGGAGTAAGGAAACTTGCTAACATTTCACCCTGTCGGGAATCTAATCTGCTTGTGAAGTGAGTGCTCTAACTACTAAGTTATAGGACTCCACAACTCTCCAAAAGAACTACCTCAAGCAGAAAAAAATATAGAATTAAGATTCGCAAAACAGATGATGTATGTGACCCAATTAGCCTATTAACTCAAGTATGTAAATCGCATGGGTATCAAATTTACAGGTTACTACTGCTGACAAACGATAGCAGTTTTCCACTCTGCCTTTTTTGCTCTAACAGGCTGATCAATTGAAATAATTGTACAGATAATTTCAACTGAAACCACAACTGATGCTCATGAGTATTAATACTCCACATTTCTAATCAATTACTGACTTTCTATTCCTGGCCTTTACTGCTGGAAAGTTTGTGTGGCTAAATCACTTTCTCACACACTGCAATTTGTACTGCTATAGTCCGAGTAATTATTTTCTGCACTAATCACAGTGATCTTCCAATTTATAGATAGATTTTTGCCGTTGGATGCCATTGTGAATTCAGTTTAATTGGTTGTATAGGGAAAGGTTTGTTTTCATGTGGTCTCTTTTACATCTCTGATACAATAGTTGTGTTTGAACCTACGCCTTAACCTATGACTGTCCAAAACCGTTAAATTCCCTTTATCTTCCACAGTATATTAAAAATTCCAACACTTAAGAGTTAAGTGGTACCCAGGATTCATTGCCACAACTAATCTGAACATACCTAGTGCCGAACCATGGCAGATAAACCACTGTCGAGAGACCGAGTTTGTATATTGTTAAAACAGGTAACTGTTAGTTGGATAAAGTACAAAGATCCACTCTACCACAATTGAATGTTCCACTTTCAAATCTGTTCAGTCACATTACTAACTAACATTACTGTATCATACCTCATTAAAATAATAATAATCCTCGCATTTGATATATGGCCTTATCACGTCTTCAAGACGTCTTAAAGCACTTCATGAAATATACTATAAAGTGAATTTAAGGTTTATTTTGTGGATGAAATGTGGCAGCCAATTGCGCACAGTAGCGTCCCACAAACAGTCATGGATTGAGTGACCAATCTATTATTGTTATTTTTTTAAAGAAATTATTACCCCCGGAAAGGGATCCACCAATCGACTAACAACTGGGTTCCTACTTACTGCTGGGTAAACAGAGGGGTGCGGAGTAAGGAAACTTGCCGGGAATCAAAGCCAGCTCTCTCGCTTCAAGCTATTATTGAATCTGCTTCCACCACCCTCTCATTGCAGATCATAACAACTCATAAAAATGTCTCCTCGCCTCCCCTCTTTGCCAATTATCTTAAATCTGTGTCCGCTGGTTATTGACTCACCTGTCAACAGTTTCTCCTGATCTACTCTAACAATACCCCTCATAATTTTGTTGTAATCATAGATTACAACTCTATTAAAACTCCCCTCAGCCTTCTCTGCTCTAAGGAGAATAATCCCATCCTCTCTAGTCTCTCCATATAACTGAAGTCCCTTATCTCTGGTAATATTCTGGTAAATCTCCTTTGCAACCTCAACAATGCCCTGACCCCAGGAGATGCTTACATAATACTATACATTTACATTCATATTAGCACCTTTCTTGGTGGGAGGACATCTCAAAGCGCTTAACAATCCTGGATGGCCACCCAAGCTGGAGGTAGGAGCAGAGGAAATGGGGAGAGAAAAAATGCCCCAAATTGCCACCTTGAAGTTGGGGAGGGGGGGATTGACATGTAAACAAGGAAATACCTAAATCCAGAGTGTGACCCCGATTTGTGCACAGCAATGTCCCACAAAAAGCCTTAAGTGAAGAGTCAGTGATCTGGGCACTGGGGGTCAGGACACCTGTTTTTGAGTCGCATCACAGACATTTAAAATCAGGCAGCACTGCACTAGAGCCTCAGCCTAGACTAGAAGCTCCAACACGAGACTTCAATCCACAACTTTCTGACACCGAGGTTACAAACTGAGCTAGACTGACATTCACTCTCAATCTGTGTTCTCTGCCTTCGACTTTTCAAATGCCTTCTTTGCCGATCAACTACAAAATCCAAACTCCAGGCCCAAATACTCACCCGCACTAAACTCCATACCCCCTTCACACCAGTTCTAGCCAGGCTTCACTGGCTTCCCATCACCAAAAGGATCAATTTCAAGATCCTCACACTCGTCTTCAAATCCATTCATGCCCCGGCACCTCTCTACCTCTCCGATCTGCTTACCCCACATACCACAACCCGCTACCTCCGCTCAACTGACTTCAGCCTCCTGCTTTCCTTTATGCTCTCAGTTTCACCATTGGTAGCCGCGCTTTCAGCCACTACGCCCCGAAAATCTGGAACACTCTTCCTCTATGCCTCCGCCTCGCTCCTTCCTTCCCTCTCTTCAGGTCGCGCCACTTGAAGACTTTCTTCTTCAACTGTACCAGCGGTCACCTCCCCCCTCCCCACGGTTTGGCATTCATGCTCCATCAAGGTCAAGCACTCTGGAACAGTGTCCTGTGCGAGGGGCACTTTTTCAATGCAACTTGTTGTTTTTACCAACTTTCCATCCATGCACACAATCCCTTTATTACTGTGCACAATAATGTTTTCAACAAGCCTCTGTTGCATTTTATCGGGTGTGGGAGAGGAAGGACAGCTGGGGATCAAACCGGATGTCTAGATTGCGCACTGGTTTGGTGAGTGTGAGGGAGAGCCCAGGGAGGTTGAGGAGTTTAGGTCCGCAGGAGTGAAGAAGTTGATGGGAGCCAAGGAGTATAGCTTCTGTCTTGTCCACATTCAGCTGCAGGAAGTTTACACTCATCCAGGCCTTCATCAGCCAGACAAGCTGATAGAACATCGGGGACCTGGAGTTGGTGCTGGAGGCAAAGTAGTTTTGTGTGTCATCCGCAAGCATGTGGAAGTTTACAAGTCTGCGATCACATCACCCAGAAGGAGCATATAGATAAGGAAAAGAAGAGGCCAAGGATGGAGCCCTGGGGTACCCCGCAGGTGACCAGGGGGAGAAACCATTTGCTGAGATGTAAATGGAGGCGGTTGGTTAAGTAGGACTCGAACCAAGCGAGTGTGGTCCCACTAAGGTAGATGAGGGAGAAGAGGCAGTGGAGGAAGATGGCGTGGTCAACCCATTGAGTCCATAGAATAAAAGGGACAGTGGCAGCATGGATACAAAATTGGCTGGGAGACTGAAAGCAGAGAGTAGTGGTGAACGGTTGTTTTTCAGACTGGAGGAAAATATACAGTGGCAGATGATGTTTAATACAGAAAAGTGTGAGTTGATGCATTTTGCGAGGAAGAATGAGGACTAAATGGTACAGTTTTAAAGGGGGTACAGGAACAAGGAGACCTAGGGGTTCACATACACAGGTCTTTGAAGGTTCCAGGACAGGTTAATAGAGCTGTTAAAAAAGTATATGGGATCCTTGACTTTATAAATGGAGACATAAAGTACAAAAGCAAGGATGTTCTGCTATCCCTGGTTAGGCCTCAGCAGGAGTATTGTGTCCTATTCTGGGCACCACAATTTAGGAAGAATATCAAGGCCTTGGAGAGAGTGAAGAGGAGATTTACCAGAATGGTAACCAGGGATGAAGGGCTTTAGTTATGTGGAGAGACTAGAGAAGCTGGGATTGTTCTCCTTAGAAAAGATTGAATAAAGGTGTTCAAAATTATGAGGTTTTGTTAGAGTAGATAGGGTGAAATTGTTTCCACTGGCCAATAGCCAGGGGACATACATTGACAAAAGAACCAGAGGGGAGATGAGCAGAATTTTTTTACACAGAATTGTTACGGTCTGGAATGCATTGCCTGAATTGGTGGAAACCGATTCAATAACAACTTTCAAAAGGGAATTAGATAGGTGCTTGAAAAGGGAAAATTTGCAAGGATATGGGAAAAGAGCAGGGGAGCAGGACTGGTTGGGTAGCTCTTCCAAAGAGCCGGCACATTGTATGGTGGCCCTGTTGGCAAATAATTTGTTGTGTTGTGTAAAGCAAAGTATGTCACCTGGGGCCTCTCTCCTCCTTCGATTTATTCTCTTGCTTTGTGGAGTCTTGATCACTTATTTCTCTGTTGTCACTTTGCTCATGAATACACGTCTGATCAGCTTTCTGCAGTTTCCATTGCCCTTCAATCTTCACAAGTTGCGCTCCTTCAAAGGAAGGGATTCTTATTAGCAGTATAGACAGTATATATATGTATGTATATATTACAGCACAGCCATGATTCTGAATGAGGGTCATAAAATGCACATACAACATTAATCCTTGCATTTGATAGAGCGCCTTATCACATCTTCGAGGCTTCTCAAAACACTTCACAGAATATTACATAATATAATGTTACGGTCTGGAACGCACTGCCTGAAAGGGTGGTGGAAACATATTCAATAACAATTTTCAAAAGAGGATTGGATAGGTACTTGAAAATGAACAATTTGCAAGGATACAGGGAAAGAGTGGGGGAGTGGGACTTGTTGGGTGGCTCTTCCAAAGCGCCAGCACAGGCATGATGGGCCGAATGGTCTCCTTATGTGCTATAATATTCTATGATTCTATATGATGTACAGCTAATTGACGGGATATTTTGTTGGTGACATGCACAGCAGGGTCCCACAAATAATCGTGGATTAAGTGATTTTGAAGTGGTTTTTACTCACGGAAAACCGATCCGCCAATCAACTTAGAACTGGGTTCCTATTCACTGCTAGGTAAACAGAGGTGTGCAGAGTAAGGAAACTTGTCTAAGATTTCGCCCTGCCCGGGAATCAAGCCTAGGTCCTCTTGCTTGCAAGGCGGATGGAATACAAGGGCAGTCTCCCTGGACAGATGCAGCCTGTTTGCCTGTGACTGTGCCGGCTCTCACAATCTTTTCAGTTCGATTTACCTGCCCTTTCCTCATATCCCTGTAACTGACTCTTTTTAACGTATTAAAAAGTTCAACCAGTTAATACCTCACAATCATCATCACTCGTATGAAACCCACCACCTGTTACCTTGATTCCCTTCCCGACCCAGCTACTGACCTCCCAAATGCCCCGTGCTGGCTGACACAGCTAACCTGTCCTTTTCCTCTTGCATTCCACACTCTCCTTCAGAAATGCTGTCATCATCCCCTCCTAAAATAAAACACCCTTGATCCTTCAAATCTCACAAACTACAAACCCATCTTAACTTTCACTTCTAAAGTCCTTGTTTCCAATCAACGTCACTCACACCTTTCCCTTTATTCCCTACTCAAACCCCTCTGCTTCTGACCAGCCCACAGCACTGACACAGTCCTCACTAAAGTCACAAATTATGTTGTCTCTCAGTGCAACCAGGGCTCCCTCTGCCTTCCTTTCTTGGAACACTCCATTCGACAAACTCGACCATCCTCCTTATCCACCTCACTGGGATCTCACTCTCCTGGTTCGAGTCCTACTTGATTCACTACCAACCCTTTGACTCCTCTGCTGCCACCCCCATGGTAATCATAGAATTATACAGAACAGGAGGAGGCCATTCGGACCATCGTGTCTGTGCCAGTTCTTAAAAGAGCTTCCAAATCAACCCCACCCCCCCACTTCCTCCCCATAGCCCTGATCAACCCCACTCCCCCGCTCTCTCCCCATACCCTGATCAACCCACTCCCCCGCTCTCTCCCCAATCTTTTCCTCCCCAAATAATTATCTACTTCTCTCTTACAAGTTGTTATCGAATCGGCTTCCACCGGCCTTTCAGGCAATGATTCCAGATCAATTCGCTGTATGAAAACATTTCTCCTCCCCTCCCCTCTGTTTCTTTTAACAACTATTTTAAATCGGTGTCCTCGGGTTACCGACTCACCCACCAGTGGAAATAGTTTCTCCTTGTTCTGGAACTCCATCCCCCAGTGCCTTTGCCTTACTTCCTCCCTTTCCCCCTTCAAGGCCGGTCTCAAGACCTTTCTATTCAACCGTGCCTTCAGCTCCCCTCTTGACTCTCTACCCCCTCCTCGCTCTTTCCCTCCTCTCACCCTGACCATTTCCCCCCTACTTGGGTCCCGACCGAACTGTCCAGCGCCTTGGGACGTCCTCCCGATGTGAAAGGCTCTCTATAAATGCAATCTTGTTGTTGTTGCTCACCTTATCGAATCCCTCATAATTTTGAAAACTTCTTTTAAGTCTCCTCTTAACCTTTCTCTGCTCCAAGGAGAATAATCCCAGCTTCCCTTGCCTCTCCTGATAACTGAAGTCCCTCATTCCTGGTACCATCCTGGTCAATCTCCTTTGCATCCTCTCCAATACCTTGACATCCTTCCTAAAGTGTGGGGCCCAGAACTGAACCCAGTCTCTCGCTGAGGCCTAACCCGTGTTTTATATAAAGGTTCATCATAACTTCCTGACTTGTGTATTCTATGCCCCTATTTATAAAGCCTAGTATCCTGTATGCTCTTTTAACAGCTGTATCTGCCTGTGCTGTCACCTTCAGAGATTTACTGATATGAACCCCAGGTCTCTCTGTCCCTTCACCCCCTTTAAGACTGTACCATCAGCTTATATTGCCTCTCCTCATTCTTCCTCACAAAATGCATCACTTTGCATTTCTCCACATTAAACTTCATCTGCCCCGTGTCTGCCCATGTTACCAGTCTGTCTATGTCCTCTTGCAGTCTGTTACTATCTTCCTCACTGTTTATTACTTTTCCAGCTTCGTATCATCTGCAAACTTGGGAATTGTCCTCCCTGTACCCGAGTCCAGGTCATTTATATAGATCACAAACAGCAGTGGCCCCAATACCGACATCACTGCACACTTCCCTCCAGTCAGAAAAACAACCGTTCACCACCACTCTCTGCTCTCTGTCTCTCAGACAGTTCTGTATCCGCTGACACTGTCCCTTTAATACCGGGGCTTCTATTTTGCTACAAGTCTCTTATGTGGTATTTTATCAAAAGCCTTTTGAAAATCCATATAAACGACATCAACTGCACTATCTTCATCCACTCTCTCCGTTACTTCATCAAAAAATTCTATCAGGTTTGTTAGACTTGATTTGCCTTTAACAAATCCGTGTTGACTGTCCTTTATTAACCCATATTTTTCTAATTGAGAATTTATTTTGTCCTGAATTATAGTCTCTAGAAGTTTCCCCACTACTGGCGTTAGGCCGACTGGCCTGTAGTTCCCGGGTTTATCCTTCTGCCCCTTTTTGTACAGGGGAGTAACATTTGCAATCCTCCAGTCCTCTGGCACCACCGCGGTGTCCAAGGAGGATTGAAAGATTGTGGCCGGAGCCTCTGTTATATCCACCCTTACTTCCCTCAGTAACCTAGGATGCTTCCTGTCCAGATCGGGTGACTTATCTACCTTGAGCACCAACAACATTTTTAGTATCTCGTCTCAGTTTATTCGTATCCAATTTCTCTCCCTTCTCCTCCGATACTGTGGCATTGACTGCATCCTCTTCTTTTGTGAAGACAGATGCAAAGTCCTCATTCAGTACGTCAGCCTCCACAGGAAGATTTCCTCTTTGGTCCCTAATTGGACCCACCTGACCTTTGACTAACCTTTTATTCTTTATATGCTTATAAAAAAATACCTTTTATGTTCCTGCTAATCTTTTCTCATACAATCTCTTTGCCCCTCTTATTTCCTTTCTCAGTTCTCCTCTGTACTTTCTATATTCTGTTTGATTATCTTCAGTATTTTGAACCTGACATTTATCATAATCCTCCTTTTTCTGTTTTATTTTGATCCCAATTTCCTTATCCATCCAGGGAGGTTTGGTTGCCCTCCTTTCCCCTTTGTGGGAATGTATTTGTTCTGTCCCCAAACTATCTCCTCCTTGAAGGTTTCCCATTGCTCGTTAGCTGTTTACCTGCCATTCTTTCTTTCCAGTCCACCTTGGCTAGGTTCCTTTTTAACTCACTTAAATTAACCTCTTCCAGTTGAGTATCTTCACCTTTGATGGTTCCTTGTCCCTTTCCATACGTTCTCTAAACCTAATGATGTTGTGATCACTGTTGTCCAGATGCTCTCCTGAAACCTGCTCCACTTGTCCACTTCATTCCCAGAACGAGATCCAGCACTGCTTCCTTCCTCGTTGGGCTGGAAACAAACTGATCCAGAAAGTTCTCCTGCACACATTTTAGGAATCCTTCCCCCTCCTTGCCCTTTACACTGTTATTTTGCTGGTCTATATTAGGATAATTGAAGTCCCCCATTATCACTACTCTATTGGTTTTGCATCTTTCTGAAATCTGCTGCAGATTTCCTCGTCTCTCTCCTTCCCACTATTTATGGTCTATAGTGTACACTTAACAGAGTAACAGCTCCTTTTCTGCAACTTAGCTCTAACCAAATGATTCTGTTTTGGACCCTCGAGCACATCGTCCCTTTCCAGGGCAATAACCGTGTCTTTAATCAATATTGCCACCATCCCCCACCCCCCCTTTCCCCCTCCCTATCCCTCCTGAATAATTGTAGCCGGGATATTCAGCTCCCATTCCTGCCCTTGTTTGAGCCAGGTCTCCGTTATTGCCACTACATCATCACCTCATGTGGTAACTTGAGTGACACATCCCAATCTTTGGCCCGTTCCTGTTTCTCATTTACGTGCTTCCTCTCATGTGTCCACCTGGCTCGGCGGTAACACTTTCGCTGCATTGTCAGAGGTGCCTTCCTTCAGATGAGACATTAAACTAAAGTCCCGTCTGCCTATTCAGGTGGATAGATCTCATGGCACTATTCGAAAAGAGAAGGGTGTTTCTTCCAGTGTCTCGTCCAACAATCCCCCCCAAATACAATTGTTAACTAACTCCATGGCTGTTTGTGGGACCGATGCTCTGTCTGCTTGAATGAGCACCAACTTTGTGAGCTGAATGTTGACAAGACGGAAGCCATGCTCCTTAGCTCCCACTAAGCTGAGGCTCTAACCTCCTTAAATCCCCTGCCTTTCCCTCAGACTTGCTTGAACATATCATCCCCAGTCTGTCACACACTGTCTCTCCCATCCCACAGCCGATCCCTGACCGGCATGTGTGAGAGGTGCACATGTGTGAGAGGTGGAGGTCGTACACCACATCTAACGCAGCTGAAACCATTAACCACGCATTCATCTCCTACCGCCTTGATTATTCCACTGCCCTCCTCACCAGTCTCCCCAGTTCCATTGTTCATAAAATCCAATTAATTCAAAACTCCACTGCCCGTATCCTCGCACCAAACTTAGCAACCTAGCCCTCTCCAGGCTCCATTGACTCCCTATTGTACACACTAAACTCCATTCCCCCATCACACCAGTCCTCACCAGGCTGCACTGATTCTTAATTACAAAACAGATTGATTTCACTCACGTTCAAATCAATTCATGTCTTGGCATCTCCATAACTCTCCAACCTGCTTACAACTAACTCTTCTATCCCCGCCCCCTTCACTCAGTTGCTCTGGCCTCCTGCACATCTCTCGCCCCCTCCACTCGATCTGCCTTCAACCACGATGCTCCAAAACTATGGCACTCTCTGCGTCAATCCCTCCAACTTGCCTCCTCCTTGCCCGTCTTCAGATCGCACCTCGGGCCTTCCTCTTCAACTGTACCTATTCTTACTCCCCCTTCTCCCTAGCTTCATGTAAAGTGCTGCCATTGTTAGAAGCTCCAAGACGCTATCCTGCGTGAAGGACACTAAATAAATGCGAGTTATTGTTGTAGCTGACCCTGAACTTGACAAACGGACTGAAAAACCTCTCAACTGCATTGGCAGGAGCTCGGAATCATGAAGGTACTGTTTGGACACAGGTCTTATACAACACAAATGTCACCTGCATTGGGAACTTGCTAGCCTTGAAGAGAGACAAGAACAGGGATACAGGGAAAAGAAAAAATAAAATACAGGGAAAATGGGATAAAAATAAGGGACTACGGGATAAAAACAACAATAGCGCCTTTTACATTGGGAGGAAGTCGGCTGCAAAGTGCTTTGCTGAGAACAGGAGCTTGGGGTGCAGGAAACTGAAGTATTCAAAAGAACTTGAAAAGCTATCCTAAACATTACTCCATAAAGAATATATATATGTTTATTTTTGTGTGCTCCATGTCCTGATAGAACAGTCATACCAAATGTTTCTACGATATCCGCATCGCCGTCCCCTGGATGCCCAGCGAATTGCAGAGATTTCATCTGGTCAGGTACAAGGCCTCCATTCCAGCTGCGAGGCTCAGCTTCCCTCCATGCACTGTCTTCCTGTGGCACATGGGCAGCAGCTATTGTCATGGTGTCTTCTGTTTGTTCACCTGCACAAGTTGATGTGTTCTGATAAGAGACATAGTACACAGAGACAACAACAAAATTCCATTTGTATAGCGCCTTTCACGTCAAGAAGGGCCCAAGGCGCTGGCAGTCAGTGTTTCGGACCCGAGCTGAGGGAGGGCGGAGGGCACACAGGGAAGGAGGGTGACTGAAGGCATGGTCGAAGAGGAAGGTCTTGAGATGGGTCTTGAAGGAGGCAAAGGAGGGTGTTAGGTAGAGGTACTACAGGATGGAGTTCCAGATGGTGGGGGCAGAGTGGCTGAAAGCCCACTCTCCAATAGTGGGGAAGGTGAGGAGGGGGATGTGAAGCTGGCCGGAGCCCACTGAGTGGAGGAAGCGATCAGGATGGTAGGGGGTTAGGAGATGGCAGAGATCGGGGGGAGCAAGACCATGGAGGCCTTTAAAAGTGAGGACCAGGATCTTGAACTGTATCCTCTGTGTGATGGGAAGCCAGTGGAGTCGGGCGAGGATGGGGGTGGTAGGATCACGGAGCCTGGTGGGAGAGAGGATGGGGGTGATAGGGTCACGGAGGCTGGTGGGGGAGAGGATGGGGGTGATGAGGTCACGGAGGCTGGTGGGGGAGAGGATGGGGGTGATGGGGTCGGGGAGCCTGGTGGGGGAGAGGATGGGGGTGATAGGGTCACGGAGCCTGGTGGGGGAGAGGATGGGGGTGATGGGGTCACGGAGCCTGGTGGGGAAGGAGACACGGGCTGCAGAGTTAGTTCTGGATGATCTGCAGGCTGTGGAGGGAGGAGTTGGGGGCCGACAAGTGTGAGTTTGCATAGTTGAGCCTGGATGTAATGAAGGCGTGTGTGAGGGTCTCGGGGGCTGCGGTGTGAGACAGTGGCAGAGCCGGGCGATGCTGGGAAGTTGGGGGAATGCAGAGCAGGTCATGGCATGGATTGTGGGGTAGAAAGGATAGTTGAGAGTCAAACAAGATGCCAAGGTTCGGGACTGGCTCGGTGAGGGGCACAGACAGGCAAATACTTTACAGTAAAATCCAATAAAAAAATGTTGAAACTTTTCAACGATGTGGTACTGTATCAAATACAAAGACTAAACCTATTATCAAAAAGCACTTCAAATAACTGTTACACCAACGATGATCTTGATTGTTGTACCATTATTTCCATTTTAATGTTTGTGGTTACTTATTGCGACATGATGTGTCTGACACACGTGGAAACCCATCACCACGCTTAAGAGTATCCAAACCAAGGTGAGATTTTCATGCATCCCACCTACACTTGGAAATTCAAGATGTTTATTGGAATGGACTGCTCTCTCTCTCCCTGGATGGACACATCTTGCTTACCTAATCCCACAGAGTATTAATATCACTGTCTGGCAAGTTTTCCTGCTTGTTAGGACCACCCTAACCTTTGGGGCTTTGGCTTGCAGGGCTAACAGGACCGACTGATGCAGAGACTGCCTCAGGAGGTTGATAGATGCCGACATTCAGCTCACAGCGGCGGCACCTGCGGATCACTCGGTTGCAGTGTTGTCTTTGCCTCTTTGGATATTGCTTTGGGAGATTGAAGTGCAGATGCACAAGTTCATGGTTACACGTGGGCAAAGATGAGTGAAGTGCTGTTGCCCTAAACAGAGCTCAGTGGCTCTGTCCTCAATGGGTTCAGCGTCAGTTCGAGATTTCTTACAGCAATGTAAAGGTTTGGAAGTCAGGACTTACCTTCGCAGCTGAACATTGTTCCACACACCTGCGGCAACGCGGCCCAATGTACCTGGACCGGAACACGGCCTTCAGCTGCGAAATCAAACCACAGGACACAAACAATTATTTCTGTGTGTGGGGGCGGGGGGTGGGGGGAGTGCGGGGGAGAGGCAGTGGGGGGCGGGCGGGGGGGCAGGGCGGGGGGCTCTGACCTGCTGCTGTCGCTGTTGTTGCTATAACAACTGTGATAACGGAAACGGAAATGACGTTTCCCGCAATGCAATAGCCCCGCCCCCATTGATCTTTGTTAAAAAAGCTAATATTTTGTTGCCCGATCACAGCTGTTTCTCGGCTCAGGGGGCGGGGCTGTGTACAGGGGGCGGGGCTGTGTACAGGGGGCGGGGCTGTGTACAGGGGGCGGGGCTGTGTACAGGGGGCGGGGCTGTGTACAGGGGGCGGGAGTGGGGTTGTGATGGAAACACAGCACACTGTGGGGGATGGAGTAACACTGTAGGGTGGGGGGGGAACACTAGGGGGAGAGTGTAACACTGTGTGGGAAGGGGTAACACTGTAGGGGGAGGAGGTAACACTTTGGTGGAGGGGGTAACACTGTGGGGGAGGGGGTAACACTTTGGGCGATGGATTAACACTGTAGGGTGAGGGGGTAACACTGTGGGGGATGGGGTAACAACAACAACAAGATTCCATTTATAGAGCGCCTTTCACGTCAGGAGGACGTCCCAAGGCGCTGTACAGTTGGGTCATGACCCGAGCATTGGGGAAATGGTCAGGGTGAGGGGAGGGAAGAGAGAGAGCAAGGAGGGGGGGAATGGTCAGGGTGAGGGGAGGGAAGGGAGGGAGCGAGGAGGGGGTAGAGAGTCGAGAGGGGAGCAGAAGTCACGGTCAAAGAGAAAGGTCTTGAGACCGGCCTTGAAGGAGGAAAGGGAGGAGGCGGCGAAGGCACTGGGGATGGAGTTCCAGAGCCTCGGGGCTGAGAGGCTGAAGGCCACCGATGGTCGGGCGGTTGGGGCGGGGGATGGGGGGCCGACCGGAGCCCGAGGGACGGAGGGTACGGGGGGTACGTGGGGGGATAGTAGGTCAGAGAGGGAGGAGGGAGCGAGGCCGTGAATGGCCTTGTAGGTGAGGATGAGGATCTTGAATTCGATCCTCTGGGGGATGGGGAGCAGTGGAGCCGAGCGAGGGCGAGGGTGAGGGCGAGGTTGGGAGTGAGGGTGAGGGCAAGGGTGAGGGTGGGAGTGAGGGCGAGGGTGAGGGTGAAGGCGAGGGTGAGGGCGAGGTTGGGAGCGAGGGTGAGGGCAAGGGTGAGGGTGGGAGTGAGGGCAAGGGCAAGGGTGAGAGCGAGGGTGAGGGTGGGAGTGAGGGTGGGAGTGAGGGTGAGGGTGGGAGTGAGGGTGAGGGTGGGAGTGAGGGTGAGGGTGAGGGCGAGGGTGGGAGTGAGGGCGAGGGTGAGGGCGAGGGTGGGAGTGAGGGTGAGGGTGGGAGTGAGGGTGAGGGCGAGGGTGAGGGTGGGAGTGAGGGCGAGGGTGGGAGTGAGGGTGAGGGCGAGGGTGAGGGTGGGAGTGATGTGGTCGCGGTGTCTGGTGCGGGACAGTACACGAGCTGCAGAGTTCTGGATGAGCTGCAGTGTGGAGGGAGGGCCGGGAAGGCCGACGAGGAGAGAGTTCCCATAGTCCAACCTTGAGGTGATAAAGGCGTGGACCAGAGTTTCAGCCGCGTGAGGGGTGAGGGAGTGGCGATGCTCCGGAGGTGTTGGAAGGCGGTGCCGGTTGTGGCGCAGATATGAGGGAGAAAGGACAGCTCAGGGTCGAGGGGAACCCCGAGGTTCCTGATGGAGTCAGGAAGTCCTGTAGCTCACTGGTTAGAGCACTCGCTTTGCAAGTGAGAGACCTGAGTTCAATTCCAGGCAGAGGGCGAAACCTTGGGCAAGTTTCCTTACTCGACACAGAGCCTAATAATATTCCCTCCAAAACCAAAAACAATAATAAATTGGTCATTTTCAATCTACGACTGTTTGTGGGACATTGCTGTGCGCAATTGGCTGCCGCGTTTGCCCACAAATATACAGTCAATTCACTTTACAGTGTACTCTGTGAAGCGCTTTGGGACGTCCTCCGACGTGAAAAGCGCTATAACAAGAGGACGTCCCAAAGCGTTGGACAGTCAGGTGTCGGGGTCCGAGCGTGGGGGAGGGGTGGGGTAGGGGGGAGAGATAGTGTAGGGGTGAGGGGTTATGTAGGGGGGAGGGGTGGGGTAGGGAGGAGGGAAGGCAGAGAGGTGGGAGGGAGACCAAAGGCACAGCCGAAGAGAAGGGTATTGAGACCGGCCTTGAAGGAGGTGAGGGAGGAAGCGAGGCCAAGGGACCGTGGGATGGAGTTCCGGAGTGTGGGGGAAGAGAGGCTGAAAGCCCGGCCACCGATAGTAGGGCGGATCGGGTGGGAGACATGGTGCAGCCGGAGCCTGCTTAACGGAGGGAGCGGGCAGGTTGGTAGGGAGTCAGCAGGTCAGAGGGTAGGAGGGGGCAATGCCATGGATGGCCTTAGAGGTGAGGACGAGGATCTTGAACTCGATCCTCTGGGGGATGGGGAGCCAGTGGAGTGGGTGAGGGTGGGAGTGATGGGGTCGGGCGAGGGTGGGAGTGATGGGGTCGGGCGAGGGTGGGAGTGATGGGGTCGGCGAGGGTGGGAGTGATGGGGTCGGGCGAGGGTGGGAGTGATGGGGTCACTGGTGCGTGAGAGTACATGAGCTGCAGAGGTTTGGATGATCTGCAGTTTGTGAAGGGAAGAGTTGTGAAGCCGATGAGGAGGGAGTTCCGTAATTGAGCCTTGAGGTGATGAATGTGTGGGTGAGGGTTTGGGGGCTGAGGGGTGAGGCAGTGGCGGAGTCTGGCAATGTTGCGGAGGTGGTGGAAGGCAGTGCCGGTCATGGTGCGGATGTGGGGGAGAAAGGACAGTTCAGGGTCAAACAAGACCCCCAGGTTCCTGACTGGCTCAGTGAGGTTGAGTGTGCAGCCGTGGAGGCTGATGCTGCCAACGCCCGAGGTGCGGAGGCGTTGGCGCGAACCAATCAGAAGGGCCTCGGTCTTGCTGACATTGAGTTGGAGAAAGTTGTCCCTCGTCCAGGACTTGATGACGGACAGGCAGTCGGTCAGGACACCAGTAATCCTGGAGTTGAGGGTGAAGGCAGAGATAGAGTTATGTGTCATCCACATACATGTGGAAATTTACCCCATGTCTGGATGATGTCACCACAGGGGGAGCATGTAGAGGGTGAGGAGGAGGGGACTGAGGACAGAGCCCTGAGGGACACCGTGCTGGGGGTGGAGGAGAAGCCGTTTGAAGAGACAAAGTGAAAGCGGTGTGAAAGGTAGGACCTGAACCAGTCAAGGACAGAACTTTGAAGGTTGAGGTGGGAGGAGAAGCGGTGGAGGAGGATTGAGTGATCCACGGTGTCAAAGGTGGCAGAGAGGTCGAGGAGGACGAGGAGGCAGAGGGAGCCCGAGTCACACATGGTCAGGATGTTGTTTATGACCTTGACCAGAGCAGTTTCCGTGCTGTGGGCAGCACAGAAACCCGATTGGAGGTGCTCATGTAGGGAGTGAGAGGAGAGGAAAGAGTGAAGCTGGGAGGACTCCAGGGCAGTGGAGAGGGATTGCGGGGAGATCTTCTTCCACGGGTGGTAGGAGATGGTGGTACGTTTGGAGGCCATGAAGAGAGGGATATATGAGTTGAGGGAGATGAAATGGAGGTCAGAGATGGCCTTGTCAGTGATGGTGACATCCGCGACACTGAGACCCCGGGTGATCACCGGGTCGAGCAGGTGACCGTGGGTGTGGGTAGCAGAGTGGATGTGGAGGGAGAGGTTGAGAGAGGAGAGGAGCGAGGAGAATTCTGAGGAGGTGGAGCAGGAGGGGTGAAGGAGGGGGTGAAGGTTGAAGTGGCCGAGGATGATGAGGCGGTGGGAGCAGAGGCAGAGGGAAGCTAGGAGGGTGGAGATGTCAGAGATGAAGGTGGGGGAGCCTGGGAAAGAGATGGCGAAGAGAGAGAGGGGTAGGGAGGGAGGGAAGGAGATGGTGGGGGAGAGGAAGGGAAGGAGGGAGGAAGGGAGCGAGTCAGGGAGAGAGGGAGGGAGGCAAGTAGGTAGGGAGAGAGGCAGAGAGGGCGGGAGAGAGGCGAGTAGGGATGGAGAGAGGGAGGGAGGTAGTGAGAGAGGCAGGGAGAGTGGGAGGTGGGGAGGGAGGGAGAGAGTCAGGGAGGGAGAGAGGCAGGGAGTGTTGGAGGGAGGTGGGGTGGGAGGGCGAGAGGAGGGAGAGAGGGAGAGAGGTGGGAAGAGAGGGAGGGAGTGAGTCAGGGAGGGAAGGAGGGACGGAGGGAGAGAGGTGGGGAGGGAAGGAGAGATCCAGGTATAGAGGCACTGAGGGAGAAAGGCAAGGAAGGACAGAGACAGGGAGGGAGGGAAGGAGGCAGGTGGGAGGCATAGAGGCTGGGAAAGAGGTAGAGAGGAGGGAGAGAGGCAGGTGGGGAGGGAGGGAGGCAGGGAAGGAGGGATGAGTCGGGGAGGGAGGGACCGAGGCGAGTAGAGAGGGAGGGAGGGGGAAAGGCAGGGACGGCAGGAGAGAGGCGATTAGGGATGGATGGAGTGAGGGAGGCAGTAAGAGTGGCAGGGAGTGAAGCAGGGAGTGAGAGAAGCAGGAAGTGAGGGAGGTGGGGAGGAAGAAAGGCAGGTAGAGAGGTAGAGAGTGTTGGAGGGAGGGAGGGAGGGCGTGATTCGGGGAAAGAGAGAGAGAGGGGAGAGAAACAGAGAGGGAGGGAGAGAGGCAGGGAGGGGAGAGGTGGGGAGGGAAGCAGGGAGGGAGGGAGTGATGTAGGGAGGAGGGAGAGTGGCAGGAAGAGAGGAAGGCAGGGAGAGAACGAGGAAGGGTGAGTGGGAGGGAGGGAGGAAGGAGGGAGAGAGAGTGGCAGGTAGGGAGGTAGGCAGGAAGGAATGCAGGGAGTGAGTCAGGGAGAGAAGGAGTGAGTAGGGAGGGAGGGAGGGAGACAGTGAGAGGGGCAGGAAGGGAGTGAGGTGGGGAGGGAGGGAGAGTCAGGGAGGGAGGGAGAGGAAGAGAAGGGGAGGGAGGGAGGGAGGGAGAGGAAGAGAAGGGGCGGGAGGGAGGGAGGGAGGGAGGGAGGAATGACAAATATCAACCAAGTGAACAATTAAATCTATCAAAACATCCTGACCTGATACACATACACTCAGAAGCTACGGAA